AACTAATAATTTTCTCCCTGTTCACCACAAAGCCCAGGCGCTGTATGTGGGACAGGACCCAGTGCGTGTGACTCACGGCCACTTCCCTGGATGATGCCAGAATTAACCAGTCGTCTCTGTAGGTTAAAATTCTTACCCCTGCGCGTCTGAGCGGCTCCAGTGCCGCTTCCACGCATTTGGAAAAAGTCAGAGGTTCGAGTGCATAACCGAAGACGGCAGTACTCGTAATTCCTCTCTCCCACTGCGAAGCGCAGAAACCTCCTGTGTTCCGGCACTATCGGCACGTGGAAGTACGCATCTGTCAGGTCTAAGGATGTCATCCAGTCTCCCTCCCTGACACCCTCGAGGAGCTGCTTTGTGGACAGCATCCGAAACTGCCGTTTGGAAATGCACTCGTCCAACACGCGCAGATCCAGAATGGGACGCACCCCGCCTGACTTCTTTGGCACTAAGAAGTAAGGGGAGTACAGCCCCCTGGTGGCGTCCTGCGGGTCTACCTCCACTGCTGCGCCTCGACTCAGCAGAGAGGAGACCTCCGCTTGCAGTGCCTCTATTGATCCCCGTACCTGAGAGCGTACTGCCCGTACGCCTCGGAATGGTGGTGGCTTTCGGAAGAATTGCAGTGCGTAACCTCTGCGCAATGTTTTCTCCAGCCAATAGCTGTCAGCAAACCCTGCTCCCTCCAGATGCTGTAGAAGTCTGTGAGGGGCGGAACGGGAGCTGGAACACGAGACGTCACGGCCCCGCCCTCTCCTGGTGTTCCTAGCAGGGAGGGGGGGTGGCCGAAAGGGCCGGGGGGGGCCCCCTGCGTCACACCGTGAGCGCCGGGGGCGGTCACGTGTTCTGCAGGCCCGACGTCATAAGTACGGGACTGCTCACCACACGTGACTCGGCTGCTGTGCCCCCCCCCCTGGCTCTTGCCTCATGGAGGGGGGGGCGAGCCCCTGGAGTGGGAAACCCCGTGTTAGCCTTGTAGCTCAGAGATGCTAACACGCGTTCGGCCGAAGCACACACACCACTACTCACCAGATCCCTCCGCCTGCCCTCTCTCTGGGAGGGCATAGTATGGATCAGAGGACCGGAGCTCGTAGCTCGCGTAGCGCACTGCACCCCCTTTCTCTGGGGGCTGCAGGCCTAGCGAAGCCACGTTATGTGCTCGATAAGTAACACAATCAGAATTCAGATCATTTGACAAATGAGACTCAGGCAGCGAGTACTGATGAAATGCCGGTCGGCTTTTATTGAAAGAATTCTTCCCACCCCGACCTCCTCTGCCATAGGGAGGTCGGCGGTCCCGCGAGCCTCCCGTGTGTCTGTCTGGACCCGGGGGCCTCGTCGAGGGGGGACCATAGGTCATGGAGCGTGGATATGGGCCAGGGAACCTCCCGGGCAAACGCTCCCTGCCTCTGTCTCGGCTCCGCGCTGGTGGGCGGGCCTCGCGCCTCGGCGCTAGGTGCTGGGCTAGGCTAGCCGAGTCCTTGGCTACGGTCTCCAGTCTAGCCACCAGGGTCTGCATGTCCGGACCGAAGAGGGACGTCTGAGAAACAGGCAGGTCCAGCAGCTGCCTCCTCTCCGCCTCCCTGATATTAGCCAGCCCAAGCCAAAGGTGCCTGGCCCCGACTTGGGCTGCTGCCATGGAGCGGCCACCATCCACAGCTAGCGCCTGGCACATGCGCGGAGTCGCCGCCGAGGTGGTCCTCGCCTGTGACAGGAGGTCTCCACTGAGCGCCTGGCCAGAAGAGAGCGACATATCCAGGGCCCCCGTGATGAATGCCATGTTGTTAATCAATGCGAGGACCTGTGCTGCAATGGCATAACATCTATCCAGCATCGCCAAGACATCCTGTCCCGCTCGGAGGGAAGGAGAGGTCTGGTGCCGGGCCACACGGATGCGGAGGGCTGCAGGGCCATGCGGACTGAATCCTCGGTGTCCGGGCCACCATCCACGGCTAGCGTCTGGCACATGCGCAGGATCGCCGCCGAGGTGGTCCTCGCCTGTGACAGGAGGTCTCCACTGAGCGCCTGGCCAGAGGAGAGCGACCTATCCAGGGCCCCCGTAATGAAAGTCATGTTGTTAGCCAATGTGACGACCTGTACCGCATTGGCATAACATCTATCCAGCATCGCCAAGACATCCTGTCCCGCTCGGAGAGAAGGAGAGGTCTGGTGCCGGGCCACACGGATGCGGAGGGCTGCAGGGCCATGCGGACTGACTCCACGATGTCCGGGACACCACCGGTCCAGGACCAGTCCTGCCCGCTGCAGTACATGTCGTACCCCAGAGCAGGCCTCTTGGCTGCTAGGGGCTTAGGCCACTCACGTGTCGTGTAATGGACGAACAGGTCCGTCCGCGGGCACAACGTGGGTTGCATCCTCCTCCTTCCTCGAGTGGTGGCACCCACAGAGGTGAAGTCCTCCACCGTCTGGATCCAGCGACGACGTCCGACGCCGGAGGGCGAAGGGAACTCGGACGAACAAGGAAGACATCTCAGAATGAAGTAAGTACTGTGGTAGATCTCAAACGGCGCCAGAGTGAAAGAGGGGGTGCGGCCTTGTGCAGGGGCATTTATAGAGGAGGGTGGCTGGTGATTGGAGCAAATTATTTTGATCTCTTTGGCGTGTGACCTGGGGGTCACGAGTAATATCCCACTAGCGAAGTCCTAAGGGACGTAGCACCATGACGTAGAACCATACGCAACAAAAAACTAATAGCCACCAGAGCGCCCGAATATGCTCGGATCATTTCATTTCTGCTAAGTGAAATCAATTTGATGGCGGATTTAGTGTTATTCCGAAACAAACAGAAGTTTAAGGATAAAACATATCTGTCTGACTGCAACGTGGGGTTGCTCCATAGACTGTAGCTTAGCTTGTAGCATAGCTGTTATATGTTTGGTCTCACACAGGACCTCACCCGGTTCACAGGGGATCTGACTTACCGAAGGCCAGCAGACATGTGAACGACTGAGCCGTGCTCGAGGGTGCCCCGTACTAGTATTTATTAATAAAATATACGGCTCCTCACAGTAGACGCAGAAAGCTCCATTGATTTGAATGTAATCTGATTATTTCCACTGCAGTGTAGCCACACATAGATCCATGGTGTAACAATAAACACATTAAATGTTAATCGGAGAATACATTATACATATACATTCTTAATACACGTGCACAGAGGTTTTCAGAATTTTCTGTTCACGTTTTCATGAAAAAACACTGTTTTAATGCGACAATATGCGACCGCGGTAAACCTGGATGTAACGATAAACATTAATAATACATTTTAGGCTGCATTTTCAGAGGATCTGATTCATGACTTTAGGTTGAGTATATATTTGGGTCACTAACTGCTGAAGTTTCGAATTCTCTGTTCAGTTTTCATGTAGTTCGAGAGAGTTCTAGTTTTGAACGTCCAGTTATAGATAGCTAGCAGGGCTGTTACTCGCCGAGGTTGTCCTCCAGTATGGCTGCCGTGGCTGCTAGTCACATGACCGTAGGATCCCTCTATAGGTAAAGAAATACTGCTGAAAAGGCTTTAAAGCTGGGGTTTCCCACTTCTCCCCATAGATAATACCTCAGACCACAACATACTGTCTTTATCAGAAAGAGTGTTCTTTAAGAAAGACCTCACACCAGGAGCAAGTCAAAGACGAGGACCAGGACTGAGACCAGTGATGGGTTTTATCATAGAGCCAATGTTTTACTACGAGACTTTCTGGACCAAAAGCTACTTTGTTGAAGGTCTTTAAACCCTGAATGTGATGCTAGTCCAACCCAAAAAGTCAAACAGTGACTCACAGCGCTCATTCTTACACAAAAGATGACAGTTTACTATGAAGACCGAATCTGGTCTGATAGTGTCATTTCAGCATTTTACTTAAACAAGACTGTCTTTCGGACAAATTATCAATCATAATGTTTAGGGAAGTTGGGTCCCTCAGCGTTAAGAACCAAGACACAAACTCCACTGAAGAATAAACATTTTAATCAGATGCAATCAGTATATTTAAATGACACAGACACGACAACCATGTAACTGAGTGCAGTACCCACCTGCGGACCGCAGGGGGCAGCACGTGACCCGACACAGTACTGCAGAGACCTGATTAATCACATTCACTTTTTCTTTTATATCAGTCTTAAAGTAGAAATATGTAAGATTTTCATGTCAAGTCAATAAATGGCCCTAATATGTCAAAAGGCATTAACATCTGAAAAACAGTTCAGCTGAGGTATGAGATTTTCAAAATTTGTTTTACAGCCCTAAATCTTGTTAATGTTTTCATTTCGATATCCCGCCCTCCAGTTTTACCAATCAAAGTCCAGGATCCAGGTTGCCAGAACTCACCACGTTGAGCTACAATGTGGCCACAGAACTAAAAAGGTCTTATGATTCTCAAATCATTAATGACGAAACAAGGAATAAAACCAGGATTTCTGTCTTTTTTTTGTGGATTTGTTTACAAAACTCTTTTATTCAGATATTATGGTCCCGGCTGGATTCGTCTGCATATCTGGCAACCTGAGTCAAGGAGAGTGCAGTACCACTTTTGTCCAGATTTTTATATATTGCTCCTTTAAAGCATGAAGATCTTTTATTGTAAATTATTCACTTAATTATATGGTATTGGATTAAAGCTGGGGCATGTAACTTTCAACAACAAAGTAAACTGGTTTAAATCCATCGCAAATCTGGCACCAAAACAGTTTTATCCACAGATTGTATACAGATCATACAGATGCTAACACAGACAAGACAAGTTACAAACACTAGCTTTAAGATGTCTTTTTAAGTCTTACTTCATGATTTAACACAAACTTTAACGTGAAATATGTGGTGTGTGTGTGTCCACCAGGACTCAGGTCAAAGTCTGTTATATAATCTCATAGTGATGTCACTGGTTCCTCACACCTCCAGAGAAGTTGCGCATAGCAGCTTTAACACAGATCTTCAGACGCTGCAGTCGTCAGTCTCTGGATCAGTAGAAGAAGGGTCTGGATCAGTAGAAGAAGTACACTAAGGGACAGAGACATGTGAGACGAGTGGACAGATTCTGACAGTGTTGAGTGCGGTCAGTAGATATAATTGACGGCAGTATTGAGCAAGTGGTGAAAAGGTGGTACTGCACCCTAAACTCCCCAGAAAAGGGACGGCGCTATTGAGCAAGTGGTGAAAAGTGTTACTGCACTGTATTTTTTCAAAGAGGTGTCACTTTTGAATGTGTAATGAGTTAGCCTCTGTTGACCCTGATGCGATAAAGTAAATGTTTCACAGTTGTTAAAGTGCTTTATTGAGCAGTGTTTATCGTAGCACATCACTTATTCTAAAACAAACAGTGATGGTGAAGACACGTCAATAACTAATTAATCTACACGGGGACCTGCCCCAGACCTGCCAACCTATACAAACATGATGGGAGGATGAAGGGTGGGAGGACTATGGTGAGCCCCCGCTCCTCTAAGAAGTTTTCAATGGATCAAACGCATTACATTGGGCTACGGGAAGGTTATACAATATGTCTAATACAGGTAAGTTATTAATATACCATTTTTCAGTATTCATATTAAATGTTTTAATTTAGTTTATCTCTAGGAAAGGGTCGTTTATTGACACATTATGACACCGATGAAGATTTAACCCCATCACCAAAAGTTACGAGAGGTCTACAGCCAACGGATGAAATATGGTAAGATCTCATTTTTCCTTAATGTCTTAATCAGATGCTTAATACTTTATTTCATTTTATACAGCACAGGTAAATTAAAGACCAAGTCAATGCCCCTGATGCATAAATTAAGACAAGTAAATCAACATAATGCAAGTTTAGCTCCGTAAGTCCGTACATATACTAACTTTATATAACAAGCTTTATGAACGGTGTAAATCTTTTTTAGAGCAATTCTAGCCCGTTGTAGCGGACACAACATAACTAATCACGGGGATGATGATGATGATGATGATGATGATGATAAAAGGTGAGTTACATATTATAATTTTTATAATGATAGAGGTTATAATTTTCTTCTCACTATTTTTTTAGCTCATCAGGTGGTGACGAAGCCACAGAGAATCAACCCTCAGTAAACCGCCATTTCAACATAATCGATTTTATAACGACACTGGACATTGATGCCATTATACGTGATGAAGGTATACCAAACAACGATCAAGATGTATTAAACGCTGGATCACCATTCCCGGACCGTGAGGAATACTTTGAGCAAATATCTGGACATACTACTCCAGCTCCTGATGCAGCAAAAGGGCCTATAAAGAATGCTTTACCACCACCCAAGGTGAATACTTTACAAGAAAACACACATCTGTTAAACACCTGTCGTGATGTACGTGAAAAAACGTTGGTGAAAACAGAGCTCTCCAACATACGCGAGGAAGTGGAATCAAACAAGGAGCGTTGTATTAGTGCAGAGGTACATACAAACAGGTGTCTAGCAACTTTGAACCAGCAACTAAAATACAGCGAGCCCCGTGTACTTAACGAAATAGATCAGTTAAAGATTCAAGTTCACCATCTTCAAACAGAGCACGTAAAAGTTACTAAACAAGTGTTGGTGTTGCAAAATCAGCGTACAAACGCTACTATACACAGAGCTAAACTCCGGGCAAGGGGTCAACGAGCCCAACTACAGACACGCGCGCTTCAGAGAGAAGTCCTACAATTACAAACTCAATACACGAAAGCCGCTATACACAACCGTCAATTAGAAACAAAAACCTTACAGGGGGAAATACAAATTCAAAATTTGACTACAGAAATCAAACATCTTAAAAACACTGGAAATAGCTGATAGAATTGAACAAGTGGATAACCAAGCGAGCACGTCTATAGCGGCTGCTATAGAGCAAATCAATGAAAACACTACTCATTTGAAAGCCATCGAAAATGCATACGATCCTGAAACACACTAAAAGGCCTAACGCTACCTCACCCTCTCAACTTCCTAAAAAAATAAGAATTAAGTATGGCCAGCGCTCTAACACTTATACATGTGTGGAACGTTTAATTCGTACTAATTATCAAACAACACGTAACACTGATAGTTTAATTCGTACTAATTATCAAACAACGCGTAGCACGTATCCGTGTATTGATCGACTAATTCGTACAAATCATCAAAGCACGTCCCATGCAGCAGAACGGTTAACAGCACCGACCCATGTCATAGCTGAAAGGCCTCCGCTATCAGACATTACCTCAAATGCTGATAATGTTGTTAACCACTCAATAAGTAAAGATACTATTCAACCCGCAATACAACGCCCTGCAAACAACTGTGTGGGTATAAATAGTCAAACTATAGAAATGGATACACAAAATGACGAGTCACCTAGACACAGCTCTGTTTTAAGTCGACACAACAATGTTACAACTGTTTCAAGAAATTGTATAGTGTTGTACAGATTACTGAACAAAGTGATATCCCCACTAACGTACAATCAGGTGGGGAGGTCCATGTTAACGTAATACCAGAGTTTAATACCACGGTAATGTCTGAGCACATTGATTTTCGAGGTATAGATCCTACAGATACCGTAAAGGCTTGTGAAAGAGTAAATGAAAAATTAACAGGGTTAATAACACACGCTGTAAACAATACAGAGCAAGGATGTGTGATGAATGTTGCATTACGAGGGCCCTCGCTTAGTGACGATATTCAAGTTATTTTGAACTCTGACAATGACTACAATGTTGACCATTTTTTAGAGGAAGTGGAAAAAGTGTTACAAAGTAACGATAAGTCCATTATAGAAGATGAAATGACATTAATAGTGAGTATAGCACATTCACAAAGTGGTGGTAGTGGTGGTCAACGTCTCAAACTTGGTGCTGTAGCATACGATACAATATTGCTAAAGAAAGGTAAATTTCTTTATAACCCTCACAATACCGAAAATGCTTTGTGTTTTGCCATGTGTATAGCTCATGCATTTCATGCGAACTATACCCATAGTAAATTACTCGATAAAGCCAAAGAGTGGCAAGCCTCAGTTGGTCTGGATCAACAAACAAACGTGACACTGAATGATGTGTCAAAGTTTGAGAATCTGTTGAACATAAAAATTGTTGTTTTTCACAACAACCCACCGACTAAACGTCTTCAATCATTTGAAACACAGGATAGAATGCACGAATGCACAATAGCTTTATACCTTTATGCGAATCACTACTATCATATCAAAAATAAAACGGGGTTCTTAGGGAGTCCATGTGTGCAAATACTGTCTCAAGCCATACGGTACTAGTTTGCATCACCTCTGTAAATACCTTTGTAACATCTGTTACACACAATGTGAAACCACAGGGAAAAACAAAACAATTAAATGTCCTGAGTGTAAACGCATCTGTAAATCTTCCCACTGCTTTAAGCAGCACAAACTCCCAGACCCCGTCCACGATAGAATACCGTGCTTTTCTGTGACATATTGTGAAGAATGTAAACATCTGTATCACAACACAGCTAAAAAACACGTGTGTAAAATTCAAAAATGCATCCACTGTGATGCTGAGCTCCCTGAAGGTGCTGAAAAGCACCATAGCTGCTACATCAAACCTTTAAAAGTGGTTCAAGAGACAACCACATGATTTCACATGATTTCACATGATTAGGATACCCACTCGCTTCCTGTTTGCTTTCAAAAACTTTTTGACATAGCCTTTAAACAGTTGATCTGATTTTTCAGCAAAATGCCACACTTTGTGAATTTTCTGTACAATGTAACCTTTTTCCACAGCTTTCAGCACTTCAGAAACAGGCCATGTCCCTGTGAATTCTCGTTCTGTGGTAGTGTGATCACACTCGGTCATTTGATTCAATTCTGTGGCGCATGTTTTACATAGGGTGAAAAACAGTTTGTCATGCATTTTATGGGGTAGCACTGGGTGTAACAGCCCTCTGGGGGGTAGTACCAAGCATTTTACAAATCCGAAATATGATTCTAGCGGTTCAAAATCACCAATGATGATTTGTGGGTGACCTATGGGGTATTCTTTGCACGCTTGTACTGACGGATATAGACTTGTGTAATCATAGTAGAGTACTTTTACACCGTTAGACACCTTGTAATATAACTTTATGGCATTTTTTCGACCGCCATAAAGAGCATCACGTGGATTTAAACGCTCAGGACTTTTGTAATCTTTGAGAAATTCTTTCACAGAAGCATCTGTTTTAGTTAACTTGTTCCATTCGCATTCCCACATGACTACTACATTAACTTTGGATTGATCTTTCAGGTTTTTTATTTTGTCAATGGTTGCAATGTAGAGATCACTAAAAGTCTTTTTAGATAGGTGATTCATCCCTCCCGGCGGGTAACACTTGTCATGTCCGTGAATAAAGCACCCAAAGAACTCGTAACATGTGTTTGTAGAGGGATTATAACCGTCTACGTGATAGCGCCCAATTTGCTTTTCCCCCCCTTTAAGAGCGTGTTGTATTGTTAACCCTTTGGTTTTACAGAGGTATTCGAGCCATTTGATTGATCCGTCAGAGAAACACTTGTTGGCCCCATTATAACAGCCGTCATATGTTAGAGCTATTGTGTTTTTCTCCAGGAATAGCGTTTTGTAAACACCCATACAATAACTTGGCAGAGTTACAAACGTGTACGGATCCACCTCTGTCCCAGAGAGTAGCATTTCGCGATAGAGCAGACAGCCACGTCTGAGAACAGCTACGTCATTGAGACAATAGCGTTGCATTTCAAATTGTAGATTGAATTCTGTATGTTTTACACCGTCATACCACTCGTTGAATTTAGCTTTCTGCGCTTGATCCATTTTGTCAACGCCGTAAAAGACCGGTTCAGGGTAGGGGCCTATATAACACTCATTTTCTTTGGTGTTAAATAAATGAGGGAAATGACCCTTTTCTAGGTCATCAAACCCTAATGCTTCAGGCATACGTGCTAAACGCATAGGTAGAAAACTGAACGAGTCCAGCCATCTTTGCCTAAGTCGCTTGTCATACATGCTGAGCACACGCGTGCCTCTCACTGTGAGACGAGGGGCTAGCCCCTGTCTCGCAAACTCTTCCAGTATTAAATAGTTGTCAAACGCAGCTGCATTGTGTGCTATGAATGTGTAATCACGAAACTTTGGTGTTCTAAAATATTTCAACATTCGTTTAACACAACCATCGTGTGCGAAGTTATATTTATCACCGTCCTGGTCAAGCGTACAGACTAACACGGGGACATGCTTGTTACCATCGTACCTTGTCTCAAAATCATAAAAAATGTAGTTGGTTGTCTCTTGAACCACTTTTAAAGGTTTGATGTAACAGCTATGGTGCTTTTCAGCACCTTCAGGGAGCTCAGCATCACAGTGGATGCATTTTTGAATTTTACACACATGTTTTTTAGCTGTGTTGTGATACAGATGTTTACATTCTTCACAATATGTCACAGAAAAGCACGGTATTCTATCGTGGACGGGGTCTGGGAGTTTGTGCTGCTTAAAGCAGTGGGAAGATTTACAGATGCGTTTACACTCAGGACATTTAATTGTTTTGTTTTTCCCTGTGGTTTCACATTGTGTGTATCAGATGTTACAAAGGTATTTACAGAGGTGATGCAAACTAGCACCGTATGGCTTGAGACAGTATTTGCACACATATGGACTCCCAAAGAACCCCGTTTTATTTTTGATATGATAGTAGTGATTCGCATAAAGGTATAAAGCTATTGTGCATTCGTGCATTCTATCCTGTGTTTCAAATGATTGAAGACGTTTAGTCGGTGGATTGTTGTGAAAAACAACAATTTTTATGTTCAACAGATTCTCAAACTTTGACACATCATTCAGTGTCACGTTTGTTTGTTGATCCAGACCAACTGAGGCTTGCCACTCTTTGGCTTTATCGAGTAATTTACTATGGGTATAGTTCGCATGAAATGCATGAGCTATACACATGGCAAAACACAAAGCATTTTCGGTATTGTGAGGGTTATAAAGAAATTTACCTTTCTTTAGCAATATTGTATCGTATGCTACAGCACCAAGTTTGAGACGTTGACCACCACTACCACCACTTTGTGAATGTGCTATACTCACTATTAATGTCATTTCATCTTCTATAATGGACTTATCGTTACTTTGTAACACTTTTTCCACTTCCTCTAAAAAATGGTCAACATTGTAGTCATTGTCAGAGTTCAAAATAACTTGAATATCGTCACTAAGCGAGGGCCCTCGTAATGCAACATTCATCACACATCCTTGCTCTGTATTGTTTACAGCGTGTGTTATTAACCCTGTTAATTTTTCATTTACTCTTTCACAAGCCTTTACGGTATCTGTAGGATCTATACCTCGAAAATCAATGTGCTCAGACATTACCGTGGTATTAAACTCTGGTATTACGTTAACATGGACCTCCCCACCTGATTGTACGTTAGTGGGGATATCACTTTGTTCAGTAATCTGTACAACACTATACAATTTCACACAGTTGTAACATTGTTGTGTCGACTTAAAACAGAGCTGTGTCTAGGTGACTCGTCATTTTGTGTATCCATTTCTATAGTTTGACTATTTATACCCACACAGTTGTTTGCAGGGCGTTGTATTGCGGGTTGAATAGTATCTTTACTTATTGAGTGGTTAACAACATTATCAGCATTTGAGGTAATGTTTGATAGCGGAGGCCTTTCAGCTATGACATGGGTCGGTGCTGTTAACCGTTCTGCAGCATGGGACGTGCTTTGATGATTTGTACGAATTAGTCGATCAATACACGGATACGTGCTACGCGTTGTTTGATAATTAGTACGAATTAAACTATCAGTGTTACGTGTTGTTTGATAATTAGTACGAATTAAACGTTCCACACATGTATAAGTGTTAGAGCGCTGGCCATAATTAATTCTTATTTTTTTAGGAAGTTGAGAGGGTGAGGTAGCGTTAGGCCTTTTAGTGTGTTTCAGGATCGTATGCATTTTCGATGGCTTTCAAATGAGTCGTGTTTTCATTGATTTGCTCTATAGCAGCCGCTATAGACGTGCTCGCTTGGCTATCCACTTGTTCAATTCTATCAGCTATTACGTTTCCAGTGTTTTTAAGATGTTTGATTTCTGTAGTCAAATTTTGAATTTGTATTTCCCCCTGTAAGGTTTTTGTTTCTAATTGACGGTTGTGTATAGCGGCTTTCGTGTATTGAGTTTGTAATTGTAGGACTTCTCTCTGAAGCGCGCGTGTCTGTAGTTGGGCTCGTTGACCCCTTGCCCGGAGTTTAGCTCTGTGTATAGTAGCGTTTGTACGCTGATTTTGCAACACCAACACTTGTTTAGTAACTTTTACGTGCTCTGTTTGAAGATGGTGAACTTGAATCTTTAACTGATCTATTTCGTTAAGTACACGGGGCTCGCTGTATTTTAGTTGCTGGTTCAAAGTTGCTAGACACCTGTTTGTATGTATCTCTGCACTAATACAACGCTCCTTGTTTGATTCCACTTCCTCGCGTATGTTGGAGAGCTCTGTTTTCACCAACGTTTTTTCACGTACATCACGACAGGTGTTTAACAGATGTGTGTTTTCTTGTAAAGTATTCACCTTGGGTGGTGGTAAAGCATTCTTTATAGGCCCTTTTGCTGCATCAGGAGCTGGAGTAGTATGTCCAGATATTTGCTCAAAGTATTCCTCACGGTCCGGGAATGGTGATCCAGCGTTTAATACATCTTGATCGTTGTTTGGTATACCTTCATCACGTATAATGGCATCAATGTCCAGTGTCGTTATAAAATCGATTATGTTGAAATGGCGGTTTACTGAGGGTTGATTCTCTGTGGCTTCGTCACCACCTGATGAGCTAAAAAAATAGTGAGAAGAAAATGATAACCTCTATCATTATAAAAATTATAATATGTAACTCACCTTTTATCATCATCATCATCATCATCATCATCCCCGTGATTAGTTATTTTGTGTCCGCTACAACGGGCTAGAATTGCTCTAAAAAAGATTTACACCGTTCATAAAGCTTGTTATATAAAGTTAGTATATGTACGGACTTACGGAGCTAAACTTGCATTATGTTGATTTACTTGTCTTAATTTATGCATCAGGGGCATTGACTTGGTCTTTAATTTACCTGTGCTGTATAAAATGAAATAAAGTATTAAGCATCTGATTAAGACATTAAGGAAAAATGAGATCTTACCATATTTCATCCGTTGGCTGTAGACCTCTCGTAACTTTTGGTGATGGGGTTAAATCTTCATCGGTGTCATAATGTGTCAATAAACGACCCTTTCCTAGAGATAAACTAAATTAAAACATTTAATATGAATACTGAAAAATGGTATATTAATAACTTACCTGTATTAGACATATTGTATAACCTTCCCATAGCCCAATGTAATGCGTTTGATCCATTGAAAACTTCTTAGAGGAGCGGGGGCTCACCATAGTCCTCCCACCCTTCATCCTCCCATCATGTTTGTATAGGTTGGCAGGTCTGGGGCAGGTCCCCGTGTAGATTAATTAGTTATTGACGTGTCTTCACCATCACTGTTTGTTTTAGAATAAGCTCGGTGTGAGCCAGACATGTGCTACGATAAACACTGCTCAATAAAGCACTTTAACAACTGTGAAACATTTACTTTATCGCATCAGGGTCAACAGAGGCTAACTCATTACACATTCAAAAGTGACACCTCTTTGAAAAAATACAGTGCAGTAACACTTTTCACCACTTGCTCAATAGCGCCGTCCCTTTTCTGGGGAGTTTAGGGTGCAGTACCACCTTTTCACCACTTGCTCAATACTGCCGTCAATTATATCTACTGCGGTCGCGGGGACTCACAGAAAATGACGCCAAAAAATATGACTCCGACAATCGCCATGATGATCATCATCTGAAAACAGACACGTTAGCATCATACATTATCCGTCCATCCATCCATTTTCTTCCCTTTAATCCATTTCTGGGTCAGGGGGGTGGCAGTCAGAGATGCCACCCAAGTCTCATAGCACCAGCCCCTCACTGACCCTCTGCAGGTGGTGAGTCCACAGGAGGACGGCTGCTCTCTGAGTGTGAGCATAGCCTTGATCTTTCAGTGGGGGCTTTGGGCAAAGTGGGGTTAAGTGTCTTGCCCAAGGACACAACGACAGCAGTCATCAGTGGGAGTCGGTGGAGAAGGTGTCGAGGTGGGAATTGAACCCACGACCTTCAGGCCTGAAGGCCAATGCTCTACCAACTGAGCTACTGTCGCCCCGCATCATACATTCTGTGCTAGCATATTAGCATCGTCCATCTGTATACAGTCTGTGTTAGCATATTAGCATCGTCCATCTGTATACAGTCTGTGTTAGCATATTAGCATCGTCCATCTGTATACAGTCTGTGTTAGCATGTTAGCATCGTCCATCTGAACCAGGGGGGGCGGGTCCCAGCTCAAAAGTGGCCAAAATGACGTGCGCTGACATGCTTGCAATTCCACCCCGGGCCGATGGGGGTGGACCAAGCCCCGGCGATCCAAGATGGCGCCCAATTCAAATGAATGGTTGTCTCAGTGGCGCTTTGTGACGGCATGGGGGCTTAAAATATTAGCGGAAGTCTCCTGGAACTCGCAAAGATCTATGGAAAACTCGCCTGTATTTGGGCATCGTCTGGTCCTCCCGGTTCTGCGCAGTGGATGATCTCCCATAATGCGTTGCGCCAAACACACATGTGTGAGTTTCACACCGGGTCTCACGCACGTGCACAGAGGGGCTCGGCCGCGCTCTGACCAATCAGAGCAGTTCATCAGAGCGGGAGTTAGAGCGAGAGCCAGACGAGCAGTTTGTGGCAGTAAAGTGTAGATTTAAAGAAAACCGAAGGATTTAAGAAGAAAAAAAGTTCAGGATGACAAGGGACACTAAAATCCCCACAAAATCCGACCTTTATGAAAGCTGTAGGTTCTCTGTCAGCTGAGGTTGAGCTGTTTTAATATGCATTGAGTTCTATGGGGAACATTTCTGGGTAGCCCACATGAATTTAGTCTGGTTCAGTCTGCAGAGAATCCCCTGAGCACATGAGTTATTCAGCTACAAGCTAGTAATACCCTATCCAGTTATTATAATAGATCCATGGGGTGGACCCAGAAGAAGAATTAGCAAATGCTAACATATAGTATCGGCAGACCTCTCAAAAATGTCTTTACAGGATGGACCAAAAGTTGTCTCTTGGCCCAAAGCTCCGTTCCTCATGTGTGTCAATGCTGAGGGGGGTGGATTTTTTTGGTCCACTCTAGTTTACTTGCTGTGAATTTTTTAAGTCTCTCGTTCAAATGAATGGAGCTGTGCCGGCTGACGCATGCGCAGATGCGTTTTAAGTAAGTAAGTAATCTTTATTTATATACCGCGTTTCACAGACCAGAGTCACAAAGCGGTTTACAATTGTTATTTTTTGGGCAATTGTCCACTCACTTCACACAGAGATGGGAGCGGGGTCTCTTTTCACAATTTTTCCACAATTTTCTTGTGTGCGGGACCACTCGCGGCCATTTTGGATAGCTCCAGTAGAGCACAATTTTTGGCCCATTAGTTAGAACGTGACTCTGTCCGTTAATATATACAGTCTATGATTTGTATACAGTCTGTGTTAGCATTGTCCATCTGTATCATGGATCTATAATAATAACTGGATAGGGTATTACTAGCTTATGGCTGTCCCACCCATGGGCACAGGGGGCGCCCGTGGTACTGCAGACTAAATTCACGTGGGCTACCCGGAAAAAAGTCCCATAGAACTCAATGTAAATTAAAACAGCTCAACCTCAGCTGACAGAGAACCTACAGCTTTCATAAAGATCGGATTTTGTGGGGATTGTAGTGTCCCTTGTCATCCTGAACTTTTTTTCTTCTTAAATCCTTCGGTTTTCTTTAAATCCACACTTAACTGCCACAAACTCTGCTTCCTGCCTTCTCGCTCTGGCTCCGCTCTTCCGCTGCTTTGATCAGCAGATCTGATTGGTCAGAGCGCGGCTGAGTCCCTCTGTGCGCGTGCATGAAAGGGCGATATCTCCCATAATGCGTTGCGCTAATCCACTGTGCAGAACCGGGAGGACCAGACGATGCCCAAATATAGGCGAGTTCTGCTAAGTCCCATGCGCTACTGAGCACAAGCCATTCATTTGAATAGGGCTTTGTTAGCTTGTTAGCATCGTTCATCTGTATACAGTCTACAGCCCCATTTCCAAGTCGTACTCTTCTCTAATCTACTGGGAACACTAGCTGCCACAGTGGGGCAGCTGCGGCTGTTAAGTGCTAAACTGTTGTTGTGTCCTTAGGCAAGACACTTTTGCCAGACCCCAAGGGTCTGGAATCGTGGGGAATGTAAACTCGTTCAAGATAGCAAAATAATAATGAACCAATCAGGATTGCCGGAGTAACGTCGGTTTACACTGCCTCCTCAAAATCCACTGCCTCTGCTGTTTATGATGTAATGCAAACCTGCGCATGCACGACTCACGGCAGCCAAAGAAAACCAAGATGGCAGACGTAAAGCCTGTGAATTTTTTCAAAAGTTTAAATACAGACAAAAGTAGACATGGATGTCACTTTTAATGCAATTGGAGGCAGATGTTGATACATCACATCATGTTGTGTGGGTTTTAAGAGTAAAATTGTGTGTGTGTGTGTGTTGGTGAGAGGGGCCGGTGGCACAGACTGGTTGCCTTGCTTCTGTCAGTGTGCCCCTGGGCAGCTGTGGCTACAGTAGTAGTTAATCACCACTGTGTTTGGAGTGAAAGAATAATCATGTGAGGAGACTTTGTGAGAGTCCAGGAAAACGTTATAAATAATACAGAATCTTGGATTTTATTTCTGACACAGACGCAGCTTGTTACAGTGTCTGAATCCGCTGTTCGTGCTTCACATCTGTGCTTTAATCCCTCACTCTTTAATCCAGATTGGGATTTCTCCTGTCGCCCAAACCCCGCCCCCACGGCCCTAATCCTCAATATCTGCGCTCTGACGTAAATAGAGGAGGAGTTAAAGGTAGATGTGTGGGTGGATCATGGAAGTGAAGCCATAATAAAGGTGAGAAAGAAAGAGACCAGAGAGAGAGAGACCAGAGAGAGACCAGAAAGAGACCAGAGAGTGAGAAACCAGAGAGAGACCAGAGAGAGACCAGAGAGAGACCAGAGAGAGACCAGAGAGAGACCAGAGAGAGACCACAGAGACACCAGAGAGAGACCAGAGAGAGACCAGAGAGAGACCAGAGAGAGACCAGAGAGAGACCAGAGAGAGACCAGAGAGAGACCAGAGAGAGACCAGAGAGACACCAGAGAGACACCAGAGAGACACCAGAGAGAGACCAGAGAGAGACCAGAGAGAGACCAGAGAGACACCAGAGAGACACCAGAGAGACACCAGAGAGACACCAGAGAGACACCAGAGAGAGACCAGAGAGAGACCAGAGAGAGACCAGAGAGAGACCAGAGAGAGACCAGAGAGAGACCAGAGAGGTTAAGGGAGGTATTTTAGACCTCAGTTAAAGAGACTGAAGTCACATAAAGAGAACAGAGTAAGTACAGTACAGGACCATAATAACTCATAACGAGGACATTGAGTGTCAAGTGTAAGTCTCAAGGTAGTACCATAGTCTGATTTAACAGTAGCAGCAGTAGTAGTAGCATTAGTAGCAGTAGCAGTAGAAGTATCAGTACCTTGCAGTTCTTCCACCAGTACTTGTTCTTCAGTTTGGCTGCGCTGCTCTCGAACTGTGAGGCTCCGGCCTGAAGAGCATCTGCTCGATCATCGAGCTCCGACAGTTTCTGATCTCTCTCCAGAACTTTATCCACGTTGACACGCATGATGTCCACCACCTGGTATCAGGAAGACCAGGGGTTAGGGACCAGAGATCTTAGAGACCAGAGGTCACGGAACCAGAGAGGTAAGGGACCAGAGTGAGACCAGAGGTCAGAGAGAGACCATGAGACTGACCACTTAAGTACAGGTCAGTGGGATCAATAAAATGGAACATCAATGAGAACTTTCTTGCCAGAGTCCAAACCACGACTCAGCCATGACATTCACTGGACAAGATGTCTGATGTGTCACATTGTACTGGTGTGTGTGTGTGTGTGTGTGTTTGTGGTCCTCACCTTGACTACCTGGGCCTGTGTGTGTGTACGTCTGTGAGTGTGTGTGTGTGTGTGTATCTCACCTCGTCCACCTGGGCCTGTGTCTGCTGCAGTCTCCTGTTGCTGGTCAGGTTTGGAGCTGCAGCTGGAGGCCCTCCTGAGTCTGAGGCCCCTGGAGCGCCCTCTGGAGTCGACCTGAAGAAGAGCAGAAGAGACTGTATCTAACCTGTGTGAACTATGGTCTCTCTCTGGATCTACACAAATATCCCACAGTCCCTGCATAATGTCCACAACCTGAGACCAACAAGACAAGACAGACCAGAGAGAGAGACCAGAGAGAGACGAGAAGAATTGACCAGTTTCAGAGAGGTCAGTTCCGAAGAGAATAAAGGCCTCTGATTGGCTCAAATCTGGGTTTCCAAAGACAATATCAAATATAAACAGCAAAACAGATTTCAGCCCCAAAATGGTGAGTGTGACTTTACCGAGCTAGAGGAGTTTCCTTTGACATGGAAGTCAATAGGAGCCAGAGAGGGTTGGAATTTACCAAAGAAACAATCTAAAATGTATTGAATTATTGTTAAAGATCAAGAGACAATCATTCAAACAATTGTTTGTTTGTGTGTGTTTGTGCGCGCTCTTGTTCTCGGGAGATCACGGAGTGGCACACCTCAGTGATCTCAGGCCTGGCAGGCTGCAGCCAATCATGGAGCAGCACACCTGAGGAAGTCGTCAGGCTGAACAGGTGCATGTGTGGCGGTCAGCACTAGATCATATACGGAATCGGGACGGAAGCGGAAGTAAATATAACTAACTACCTTTTAATGCCTAAACTTAACCAGCCATTCCCATAAAATAACCCCAACCCACCCTTGACCCTAACCTTGACCATCTTACTCAGACGCCTAAAACTTAACCAGTCAGCACTTAAGGACTTATTAGTCCATCAGCTCAAGCAAAAGTCAATGTGGAGGCACACCGCCAGGTGCCAGCTTTCACAGAAAGCTGCCCCGGCAAAACCAGGTAGAAGTTGGGTTGAGTCATGGATCTATTATATTATCTGGATAGGGTAATACTAGCTTGGAGCTGAAGAACTCATGTGCTCGGGGGATTCTCGCGGTACTGCAGACATAACAAGACTAAATTCACGTGGGCTACCCAGAAATTTTCCCCATAGAACTCAGTGTAAACTAAAACAGCTCGACCTCAGCTGACAGAGAACCTACAGCTTTCATAAAGATTGGATTTTGTGGGGATTTTAGCATCCGTTGTCATCCTGAACTTTTTTTCTTCTTAAATCACCCCACTCAGCCTGTGCTGTTTACGGAGCTCACGTCTCACAATATGGATCGCACATTTGAACGTAGATGGCGTGACCATAGAATGATAGAACCGGGAAGCCCGGAGGAACGAGACTTTCTTTTGGATAGATGTTTCACTGTGTAAGCAGTAACCGGTAACAAAGACACAGGAAGTCTCAGGTTAGCCTCCGCCGCTTGTTTTCCTCAGCTGTCTGTGGTAACCAGAGACGTGTAGCTTTTCTCAAGAAAGTGGGGGCTAGAGGTCCGCTGTGATTGGTCACAATCTGGTCCCAAAACAAATTCTCTTCCTTGTTGCATCAAAACTCGATCTAAAATAAAGTGAACAAACAAATCTGCGCTATTTATTCTTCAAAAGGATGTATCACTGCATGGATATGGATGGCATTTTTGTAATGAATACAAAAATAAAGTGAGGTAAAGCAGCTTTAAAACATGGGCATGATTAGACTAAGCATGATTACATTAGGCAGAAATGAGAGAAGTCGGCAGTGTAATTAAAGAAGCAAAAACAGCAGGGTAACAATGAAAGATTTCTTTATTCTTCAAAGGATTAACCACGTGATTGGTGGAGTCAGATCCGTGGCTGGCTATAATAAGGAAACAAACCTATGAGACTCAAGAAAGGTAGCAGATATTCTGCTCGCTCGGTCCGCTTCTGTCCCTGTGACCACTTTGCGGCTCTCTGATTGGTTGCTGCACGAGCGTCCCGGGGAAACGCTCAGCAAAATGTATCTCCTGCGTGCATCCATTTTCCGCTCCTGCATCTCTGCCGCGCAGTCCGTGCGTCTCTACCGCGCATCCCGAGATGCACATGCAGTTTGACGCTCGAACGCGCGTCACCATTGACTTTGCATTGAAAGTCGACGCAACGCATGATCCGGTGTGAAAGCAGCATTACACTTCACTACACTACAGGTCATTGCTTTCAATCGAAGAGAAGGTAAGGTTTCAAAGATGCCACTGAAAGCTTTTACTTACAGTAAAACTGGGATCCATTCTGACTTTGTTTTTGGACTGTCTGAAAAAAAAGCTGTGTCAGCATTTTCAACAAATTGAAATGAAGAGAAAAGAAGTCGGAAAGTGCCCGTTCTGTTAACGCCTGAAATTAGGGTTGCCAACCGTCCCTTGAAATACGGAATTGTCCCGTATTATAGAAAAACTATGTGCGTCCCGTATTGAACTGATATGGGACAGATTTTGTCCCGTATTTTCAGAGCCACCTTAAATGCATCACTTACTCACTGACGTCACACACGTGACACAAGCAGTAATGATCACAGTTTAAGCGTCGACCTTTCGGCCAATCAGTGTCAAAGGAGGCGTGGGCTCGATCACAGACGTTGGTTTAATGTTGACAATCGCCAGCGTGGGCCATGCCCGCAGCACCATCATGGCAGAAGTTTGGTAAACTAGCGTCATTTTCCCAGATTCGGACTTCCGCGATCAATAGCTCATGAAAGCTACTTTGTTAAACCAAAGTAATTGTACTAAAATGATCATCTCTATGTTGATTTTACAAATTCAATGCACTGTTTTAATGCAGAGAAATCCAGTGAATCCCCTGCACTGCAAGCGTCGAGAAAAGCACTTAGGGACCGTCAACAAATGTCCAGACCAGCTTTGTAAACGAACAATAGCTTTTACTGAAGCCATGTACACACACTAAACTCTCAGACACAATAAATAATGATGACCATATCGAACTGCTACAGACTTTGATTTTTGTTTGAGTTTTTGTAATGAATACATGTTTTTATTTTTTATTTGCTTTTACAGAAATTGGTCTTTACTGTAACATTCATAAATAATGTATGTTACAGTATTTGTCTTTTTATATTTTTTTTATTACTAATAAGAATGCATGAAGTCCTTAACCAGCCAAAGAGTTCCACCTATTTATTCAATTTCATTTTTGACTTAAGGATTTTTTTTTTTAATATATATATGTAGTCAATAAATTACAATCTTAAAACTGTGATTATGAAATTCCATGATTACTGTGTAGACTGAAATTAGGACATAAAAGTGCTCAACCCGATCCACCCAAATGGTGTCCCTTATTTTTTTGTTCTCAAGTTGGCAACCCTACCTGAAATGATTGCTTCAATGGAGGTGCTGGTGGAGAACAGACAGGCCTGTTCCCTGGGAGTAACAGAATAGATGTAATGCTGTTACGTTTTCAGAATACTCTTTTTGAGTAACTATATTCTGTTACAGTAACTACTTTGACGTCTATAATTTGGAATACTTACTTTCTGAAAATCATGGGAATACATATTTTCTCATGTTACATCTTTAAGGTAAAAAAACAAAAACAAACAAGGGAGGGCGAACGGCAGCGAGGGGGAAAGGCAGGGACGGCGAACGCAGCGAGGGCGTGGAGGAGACTGTGGTTTAAAACATGGATAAGTCCTAAGGTTTAAAACATTGGATTCAAAACAACCGTTGTAAAAACTAGCCCCCGCAGCAACCACTCAGCTAGCATTAGCTAAACATAGCTTTTTAGAGAGTGTGCCTAAGTGTGTGTGTCTGCGTGTGCGTGCTTGTATGTGTGCACACAGTGGCGTGGGGTAAAGACTGCCTCACCAACCTCACCGCACGTTAATGTGTGTATCCGCATTCATCTGTGTGTGTGTAAATTGGATTATATTTCTTTTTTCGTGTGGAAAGTTGTAAAAGGCAATGATCCAATAAAGGTATTTTAAAGTATTTGGAATAGATGTCACTTTACAAAATACATTTTAGGTCTCATATTCAGTATTCTGTAACGGAATACATTTTCAAAATATTCTACCCAACATTGCCTGTTCTATCTCCAACGATAACCAATACGTCATCATCAGACACCCTACGACAGATGCGGCCAAAGAATGTGGTGCAAAACATCCAGAGATGCTATCCTCAACCAAACTTAGAAAGCACATAGCTACTATGTCAACAGCTCTTAATATGAAAGAGAATGAAAGATAAGATATTCCTTTATTTGTCTGACAGTGGAGAAATCTCAGTGTCAAGTAAATAAGAGCACTAAAAGTTCCTCGGCCATGGCATTCATATCCACAGACAATATTACAGACTACCAGAGGGGACGCTGGAGCTGGCCAAAATCAGCGAAGTGTTAATGGCCATGGAGCAGGGAAGAGTGGCGGAATTCAAAGGAAAGAGCCTCGACCAGATACAAATTGAGCCTGAAGGTAATTCTTAATATTAAAATGTTTTTTTTTTCTTCTATTCTGTGGTACAGGGAAAGCAGTGGAGTTTCTCTAAGAAACGGAAAGCTCCGGCGCAAAACCTTCAACTATTCAACCGAATCCGCCCCATGGTAGTGGTAGTGCCCCTTCTGGTAGGTGTAGTGTAAATTTACAGGTGGATGGTCCAACCTGGAGGCCTGGGTGGTGGAGGGTTAGGACCAGGCTGCTTGGCCCTAACCCATGCCCTAGCCCTACTGCCACCCCTCCCAACCCAGAAATGGATTAAGGGGAAGAAAATGGATGGATGGTTTCTAAACCAGTGTCTATGTTGAAATGTTTTGTATTACTTATAAAGTAGTTCCAGTACAGGTCTGGAGCAAAAATATATTTTAAACAATCAAACCGGAGTGCAGAGTAAATCTAAAGTGATCCCAGTGTTGGCAAACACTGGGTTAAAACCAATGAGTTAAAACCATGTCTCTGGGACCCTCAGAAAGGGTGGGCCCTATATGGTACGGCCCTGTCATCGAGCTCCACCAGGTAGCAAAAATGAGTATGTGTGTGTTTTTCACAGCAGACTGAGGGAGATTCCTGATTCTTTCTGACAAAATGGAGCCAGATTAAAGCCGGTGGATTTAAATCAGCCACGCAACATTGTGTGGGCCCTTCCCCCACAACACACACACACACATAGGAAGAGTACTCAAACACACACAAACCAGACAAAAACAAAACTAGAGAAAGTTCAAGCCTGGTTTAGTCCTGCTTTAGTTCTAGGTTAAACATACGAGAGAGAGACCGGAGGGAGACCCAAGAGAGACTGTATAATGAACCAGCATCTTACACAGTGTGCATTTGACCAGACCAGTTTGACTTGAACACAAACATGATTAAAACACTCAGTTTGAGTGAGACAGAGAAAGATAAGGTTTGAAGTTTTGTTTTGTAAAAGTGAGAGAAGAGACGATACTCACATGTTTGTCTCTGGATGCTGGAGATTATAATCCCAGATGAGATGAACTGATTCAGTGATGGAGCAGAAGAGGGAGGGGAGAGAAGAGAGAGAGAGGAGAAATGAGAGAGAGAGAAGAGTAAGGGGAAAGAGAAGAGGGGAGAGAGAAAGGGGAGAAAAGGGAGGAGAGGAAAATGGAAAGAGAAGAGGAAAGAAAAGGGAGAGGAGATTTTTAATATTTTAACAGACCTTTATTTGTCCATTACAACAGGTCAATGATTTCACATTACATCTTGTAATTTAAAACACGACTCCCAGTCCTCGAGTTGAGGTCCACTTATGTCTAGGAGCCACTGCACTGAGACTACCCCCAGCAAGCTGAAGCAGCCCTGCCGCGCAGGCCCCGCCCAGGCAGGAAACTCCAGGGGCTGCTGTAGGAGCCAGTGCAGAGAGGAGCTCTGTCTCTGCCTCTTCGCTGTGCTCCACACAGAGAGCAGGCCACGGTAGAAGGACGGGAGTCCAGCAGATGTGTGGTCACTGAGGAACACTGAGAGCCCCAGCCCCCCTGCCTTCTCCGGGATGGAGACTGTGGTCTCCACAGCAGCTGCTGTGGCCCAGCTGACAGTCTCTTGCTCCAGTCGACCCTGGAGACTTGGCCAAAACCCTGCACTGTATCAGCAAGAACCTCAATATCTCCCTGGATGTTGATGAAGACCATGTCATCTGCAATGACACACCAAATGTTTGAGAAGTGGTGACTTACAGTCCAGTGACATCATTTTAATGGGGGCCCCAGCTGTTTGAAGCGCGACAGTTCTGCAGCTAAAGTCTTGTTTTTAATAAATGGCGCAGCGTTGGAGACAATAACCCACTTGGCGTGACTCACTAGCGACAGAACGGAGGTGGCTCCCTTCTCTGCAGCCTCCGCCACTTTCTCTGTACTGGACTGAAATATCAAGACCGCTCTCTTCATGCACAAAGCAGTCTTTATGTGGACGTGCCACACTTCTTTTCCCATAGCGAGTAGCTCAACATACGAAACCAGAGTAACAGCTTTCCTGAGTTTGACAGTACGGATTACATCTGGCACACCCTCAGTTTGCACTCCTGCATCCCTCCCTCAGCTGAGCACTGAAGTGCACTGGCCCCGGAAATCCCTTGTAAGTCTTCTGATCAAAAACCGTAACAGGTTACTGCCAACAATTAGATCTTCGCTCTGGCCATTGTCAACTAGAAATGGGACAACTACGCTGCATCCATAAGCCTAGCGTACATGGACCGGGTAACTGGAGACAACTAGTTGAAAGGCGGCTTTTGGCAACTGAGAGGAGATGATGGGAGATGATCAGTTGCCGAAATCGGTCGATGTGAGCGCTCTTACAACTGGAGATAAACAGTCGATCTCCGGATTCAGTCAGTTGCCCGTGTTCATCTTTTCGGCAACTAGTTGTCCTCAGATCCGGAGATATCACCCGATGTGCGCGCTCCTTATAGATCCATGGCGCGCTCCAACAACATGTGTGTATTGCGCGCCCTCTACAGTTTATGTCAGAAAACACACTGTAGTTGACGGCCAGTTGCTGTCGATGTACGCGCTGTTATTCCCGAGACTGGCCTGCTACTAGGAGTTGCCCGTTTTCGCCAGATTGTCGATGTGTGCGGGGCAGCAACTCATATGCGACGGATATAATCAGTTGCCAGTCCGATGTACGCTAGGCAATACATCTCCAGTTTGAAATCGCACACTGCCCACAGGTAGAGTTCTAGACCCTCCGCATCCAATTAACAAAGCGCCGTTTCCCCAAGGGTGGGATCTATAACACCCTCCTGCAGCAACAGGGCGACTAGACTAGCACTTAAAGTACAGGCCATTGAACTGCTGTTTAATAAAGCAGAGACTTTACCTTTCCGCTAAATTTCCGTTAAATTCTCATAACCTGACTCTCTCCAGACCCTTGTAGTTCCGCCATGCTCCACCAGAGGCGTTTGGCTGAACACAAGGGTCTGAGATCGACGCAAATGCAAACTCCTTCAGGAGATCAAATAATAATCAGCCAATCAGGATCGCCGGTGTAACGTCAGGTTTGCACCGCCTCCTTGTGCGTGTCCCACGGCAGCCAAATCAAACCAAGATGGCGGACATAAAGTCTGTGACTTTAAAAAAAGTTTAAATACAAATTAATTAAGACACAGATTTCTGAGAGTACTCAGGAAGTACAGTTTGGACTCTAGTCTGCTGCTGACCTTCTATCGCTCAGCCATCAAGAGCCTGATGATTTACTGTATCACAGTGTGGTATGGAAGCTGCACTGTGGCCGACAGAGAGAGGCTGCAGAGAGTGGTACGGACAGCACAGAAGATCATTGGCTGCCCTCTGCCTTCTCTGATGGACATTTACACCAGCCGCTGCCTCAGCAGAGCAGAGAACATCATTAAGGACAGCTCTCACCCTGGGTTCACTCTGTTTGACCTGTTACCCTCAGGGAGGCGGTACAGGTGCATCAGAGCAAGGACAAACAAGCTGTAACACTATTGAATTCTCATGTGCACTGAATTTTTATATCTTTTATATTATATTTATAACTCCCAAGCAATAGATGCAACTGTGCACTTTAATGTTTTTAATTATTTCTGTGTCTGTGTATTAACCTATTCTGTGTGTACATTCCTGCACTGGTGGAGTTGCTTTTAATTTCATTATGCATCAATCAATCAATCAATCAAAGTTTATTTGTAGAGCGCCTTTCATACACAGGGCAACACAAAGCGCTTCACAGTCCACATCACAAATCATCACATAAAACAAACACCAGAATCACAATTAAAAGATTAAAATCACACAAAAGATTAAAACACAATTAAAACATTAAAATCACACAAAAGAATAAAACCATTAAAACTTTCAAAATTACACAAGAAATTTAAAAAAATAAATAAATGACAGCAGTGCATTAAAAATGGAGATAAAATCCTTCAGTTATATGCACAGGCAAACAGAACAGTCTTTAACCTGGATTTGAACATTGACAGAGTAGACGCCTCCCTCACATTTTCAGGGAGATTGTTCCAGATCTTAGCTGCATGGATCTGAAACGCAGCCTCCCCATGTTTGGTTCTCACTCTGGGCACCAGCAGGAGGCCAGTCCCTGTGCTCCTCAGAGTCCGGGCCGGTTCATATGACACCAACATGTCACTAATGTATTCTGGTGCAAGGCCATGGAGAGACTTGTACACAAGCAGAGCCGTTTTAAAATCTATTCTTTGAGCCACAGGAAGCCAGTGCAGAGACCTGAGGACCGGACTAATATGGTCATACTTCCTGGTTCCTGTCAGGACTCTAGCTGCTGCATTTTGGATGTACTGCAGCTGCTTACAGGTCTGTTTGGACAGACCTGTAAGCAGGCCATTGCAGTAGTCTAGCCTGCTGGAGACAAATGCATGGACAAGAATCTCCAAGTCTGCCCTGGACACTATATTTCTAACTTTGGCAATGTTCTTCAGATGGTAAACAGCTGTTGATGTTATTGATTTTATGTGGCTATTGAAATTTAGGTCTGAGTCCAGTATTACCCCCAAATTTCTGACCTTGTCTGAAGGAAGTAGGGAGAGAGACTGAAGTTGACAAATGACGCCCTCTCTTTGTTTCTGGGGACCAAAGACAATGATTTCGGTTTTGTCTGCATTTAGCTGGAGGAAATTATTTTGCATCCAGTCACTGATCTGTTGGATACAGTGAAGGAGCAAATCCAGTGGTCCATGTTCTCCTGCAGTCAGTGAGACATAGATCTGAGTGTCGTCAGCGTAATTGTGGTAGGACACTTTGTTTCTTTGTATTAACTGACCTAACAGCAGCATGTAGAGATTAAATAGGAGAGGTCCCAGGATCGACCCCTGTGGTACACCACAGGTCAGGGCCACATCATCTGAGACGCAGTCTCCAATCTCCACAGAGTACTTCCTATCCTCCAGGTAAGACCTAAACCAGTCTAGGGCTGTGCCAGTGACACCAACCCAGTCCTCCAGTCTCTGCATGAGGATCTCCTGGTCGACAGTGTCGAACGCGGCACTAAGATCTAACATGACCAAAACTGTGACTTTACCTGCATCAGTGTGAAGTCGAATGTCGTTTGTTACCTTCACTAGAGCGGTCTCAGTGCTGTGGTGGGGTCTAAACCCAGACTGGAACATATCAAAAGAATTATTCATTGTTAAAAATTCAGTAAGTTGTTGGGAGGCCACTTTTTCAAGAATTTTTCCAATAAATGGCAGATTCGATATGGGGCGATAATTTTGAAGTCCCGCAGGATCCAGACTGCTCTTTTTTAGGAGAGGTCTTATGACTGCTGTTTTTAGGGCCATAGGAAATGTTCCTGACGACAGAGACATGTTTACTATTTGTGTCAGTGAAGGTAACAAACTGCTCAGGACGGACTTCAGAAATTTAGAGGGCAATATATCCAGGCTACATGTGGAGGAGCTCAGACTCATGATTATCTTTTTGACAGTTTCAGTATCCACAGGTGCAAAGTGAGTTAGCTCAAAAAGCTTCTCTGGCTGTTGCATTGTTATACGTGCTGTGGAGGTGATAGTGTTTTTGATTCCTTGTACTTTGTCATCGAAAAACTGTGCGAACTCATTACACCTAGATTTAGAGGAAAATTCTAGGGGCAACTTTACAGGGGGGTTCGTTAATCTACCAACTGTTGAAAACATAACACGAAAATTGTTACTGCAACCTCCAATAATGTCAGAAAAATACATTTCTCTTGTTCTACGTAGAACCCGGTTAAATTCACCCAACTCATCTTTAAAGATTTCATAATCGCCCTGGAAATTGGACTTTCGCCACTTCCGTTCGGCCCTCCGGCACTCTTGCTTCTGTGCCCTAACCGAGTCTGCCTTAGTCCATGGGGCCTTTTTCTTACTGGTAACTATTTGCATGTGTATAGTGACAAATAAAGTCTAATCTAATCTAAGATTTAACTTTTAATGCAGTTTAAGGTGAGATGTTGATGGTTCCATGTTGCTATATGTGTGTTTTAAGAGTCAAATGTTTATGTAAAATTTGGTTTACGTACTAGTTTAAGTGTTCCTGTTACAAGACTTGGCAGGGTTGCCAGGTTGGGTGGTTTCCCGCATACTTTTGTTCCAAGTGACTTGTAGGTAATAAATGAACTTGTAGGGCGGCATGGTGGCTGAGTGGATTGCACGTTCGCTTCTCAGAAAGAAGGTTCTGGGTTCGAATCCTGGTCGGAACAGTGCCTTTCTGAGTGGAGTTTGTATGTTCTCCCTGTGTCTGCATTGGTTTCCCTTACCACTAAAAACATGTACAATAGTTCAGGGTGAATGAGTGCGAATGTGGGGCAACAGATGGAAATTAGCCCATGGCTACAATCTGGAGTGATGTGTTCATTAACATGCACTGTCCCAATCAAATACACAATAATTACAACTACAAATATACAGAAAGACATTTAAAGGAATTATGATAGCCTAAGTTGATTGCATTACGTTTTTAGCCATAAAAATCATTGTGGGTGTTTTTTTGGGGGCATTCTCGCAGGTTTTGGTAACGTCAAGAGTTTGGTTGTTGTTTGGCAATGACGAAGAATGCAATGGTAAACATTTACCAGAACAGCGCACCCTACAAAGGTCAGTTTACATTGTGCCTATGGGAGGAGGTCCGAGGTCAAGTTTGTCGTATACATGTTCCTCAAGTCCGTCCGTCCGTTTTCCTCCGCTTCATCCGTTGCCGGGTCGCGGGGGCAGCAGTCTAAGCAGAGACGCCCAGACTTCCCTATCCACACACACTTCCTCCAGCTCGTCCAGGGGGACCCCAAGGCGTTCCCAGGCCAGCTGAGAGACATAGTCCCTCCAGCGTGTCCTGGGTCTTCCCCGGGGCCTCCTCCCGGTGGGACGTGCCCGGAACACCTCCCCAGGGAGGCGTCCAGGAGGCATCCGCAACAGATGCCCGAGCCACCTCAACTGGTTCCTCTCGACGTGGAGTAGCAGCGGCTCTACTCCGAGCTCCTCCCGTGTGACCGAGCTCCTCACCCTATCTCTAAGGGAGCGCCCAGCCACTCTGCGGAGGAAGCTCATTTCGACCGCTTGTATCCGCGATCTCGTTCTTTCGGTCATTACCCAAAGCTCATGACCATAGGTGAGGGAGGGGACGAAGACTGACCGGTAAATTGAGAGCTTTGCCTTTCGGCTCAGCTCCCTCTTTACCACAATGGTCCGATACAACGACCGCATCACTGCGCACGCTGCACCGATCCGCCTGTCAATCTCACGCTCCATTCCTCCCTCACTCGTGAACAAGACCCCGAGATACTTGAACTCCTCCACTTGAGGAAGGACCTCTCCACCCACCCGGAGAGGGCAAGGCACCTTTTTCCGGTCGAGCACCATGGCCTCGGATTTGGAGGTGCTGATTCTCATCCCAGCCGCTTCACACTCGGCTGCAAACCTGTTCCTCAAGTCAAGACATGAAAAACATATTGTCATAGCCCCGCCCCCTGACGAACAGGAATCCCAAACATTTCATTGAAAAATGGAAAATTATCTTTTTCACACATGTCAGTTGGAAATCATCTCCTTGGCCAGGGCTGGACTGGGACCAAAAAACTGGCCGGGCATTTTTGCCTCCTTGACGGCCTGACCGTTTCTTTTTTCATGATTCTGACGGTCTGATTTGCACTAAACTTGACTCGGTTAACTCCTGGGCCTAGGTCACCTGCAAGTGAGAAAAATTACATTGACCTATTAGTGCCCCCTACAAACTGAATAATTTGGACACAGGCATCTCGTTTTTCAATATTTTGATTTTGTATTCAACCCACTGGACAAACACAAAAACGCCGTTTGACCCCGCTTGCGGCTTTAATTTGGCCTGTTTCTCCTTGCAATGCAACACAATCAAGCCACACATTTTTTTGTGAACCTACAGAATTCTGCCCAAGTGTGTTTTAATTTGGGAATAAACATATCTCAAAAATATTTACACTGGAACAAACACAAGATTTATATACACATCTACAAAACTAAATGGGCCTTGATAATTTGCCAAAACACATCATGGCTTCACAAGCTGTGGTTTCTGAACCCTCTCAGATAGAGTAATACAATTATTCCTGGGGAAAAGAGAAGGAACAGCTCTCTTAAGGCCGCTGGTGGCCAATCCGGTGACAAAATCCACCTGTGTAAGGGTGTGTAAAAAAGTGCTCCCTGGCTTTATGGAAAACTGGGGACCCTCGTCTCTTCTAACTGCTTGGATCCACTGCCTCCTCTGGGCCAGGTCCGTCAGAAAAGCGTGGAAAGAATGGTATGGTTGTTTTCTTGCTCCACAAGAGCAACCAGGAAAGGAACAAAAACAACCTTGGTACCACTTCCGGTTTTAATCACGGAAGTGTGAAAAAGGTCTAGTGGAATGCAAATACTTTTAACTCTGTCACACATTGTCCATCTGTATACTGTCTGTGTTAGCATTGTCCATCTGTATACAGTCTATGTTAGCATTGTCCATCTGTATACAGTCTGTGTTAGCATTGTCCATCTGTATACTGTCTGTGTTAGCATTGTCCATCTGTATACAGTCTGTGTTAGCATTGTCCATCTGTATACTGTCTGTGTTAGCATTGTCCATCTGTATACAGTCTGTGTTAGCATTGTCCATCTGTATACTGTCTGTGTTAGCATTGTCCATCTGTATACAGTCTGTGTTAGCATTGAACATCTGTATACAGTCTGTGTTAGCATTGTCCATCTGTATACTGTCTGTGTTAGCATTGTCCATCTGTATACAGTCTGTGTTAGCATTGAACATCTGTATACAGTCTGTGTTAGCATTGAACATCTTTAATCTTATTATCGTCAAACTGGACCAGGAAACACTCAAGGATCATGTGACGCTTTAAACTTTAATTAAAAATGGAAACATCACTTTCTACATGAGACATTATTGATGTTACACACAAAAGTAGGATATATTCTCTTTATCACAAACAGTTATATATATTTATGGATGAAAAGGTGGACTGAGATTACATTAGTATCTATATCGCCTCCAATGCTTACATAAAACTCTAATGCTAACATACAGTAACAAATGTTATGGCTAACTTTCTGATTTATAAATACGCCAACACACTGCCCTGATCTTCTGTGTCAGAAAGAGCCCTGTGAGTCACTATTGGACTCATTGGGATGACTCTTTTGACACAAAGATGTGTGAAAACTACTGATAGAACCATTCAAATCAATGGAGTACAGTTTTTAACCGTTAACCTTTACCCAGAGCTAAAACTGTGAACCCAACGAGCACTAGTTCCAAGCTGAGAACCAGGTCCAGTACAGGCCCGGCCCAGGTCAAGTCCAGGTCTAGGTCCATTACCTTGTGAGATGGGGCTTTAACTGTCACAGAATGTTGGTTGCCTTGCGACGGAAAATTGTTGTATTAGAATTGTACGTTAAATTCTCGTGAAAACTGGTGGGAAAAAAAATTAACTGTTTTGAGATTTTCAGAATTCCATTGTTTTTATAGTTGCTCCTCTGATGCAGGAGGCTCAAAGGAGTCCACATTCAGCGACATTTATGAACATTGGTCTTTGTCCCTTATGAACCGATGGCTCTATGTGTTTTTTTATATCATTGCATTTCCTGTGTTTGAACTGTTTGATTCTTTGATCTGTGTTGGCGAATCAACAGTTTTGTAAAGACCTCTAAGACAACTACTCTTGTGATTTAGGGCGATACAAGAATAAATTGAATTGAATGGTTTTGAATGGGATCCATCAGAAATGACTGCTCTCTCGATCTAACAGCATTAGTTTAGGCAGTGGAGGAGATAGTTAGAGGATTCTACATGATTTATTTATATATTTATTTAAGGTTCAATTGTACAGTTCAAAGATGAGAGCGGAGAGCAGCAGCAGCAGCAGAGAGACCACACCAGAACCAGATCCAAGACCAGATCCTGATCCTCCTTTCTGCGGCATCATGGCGGCTGTTGTCATCATGGTTCCTCCTCCTCCTCCACCTGTTCCTCCCCCTCCTGTTCCTCCTCTGCCTGTTCCTCCTCCGCCTGTTCCTCCTCCGCCTGTTCCTCCTCCGCCTGTTACTCCTCCGCCTGTTCCTCCTCCGCCTGTTCCTCCTCCGCCTGTTCCTCCCTCTCCTGTTCCTCCTCCGCCTGTTCCTCCTCCTCCTGTACCGTCAGTGCTGTTGTCTCCCCCGTGCGTGCTGTTGGTCTCTGTCCTGTTGGCCTCTGTCCCGTTGGTGGCAGTGGGCTGAGTGTTTGGTGGTTCTTTGAGAAACTACAGAAACAAACAAACAAACAAATATTATGAGAAGTGTAGAATAACACAGCAAACAAACCTGGGCAAATTCCTAAGCCATCACTGTCAGTTAGAACACTTTAGTACCACCTTGGCCAGGACCAGAGGAAATGAATAGAGTAGATAGAGAGTAGATATAGGGTAGGGTAGGGTAGAGTTAGTGATTCTGAAACCCTAGCTTTAACCTAATCAGACTATATTACAAAGTACCATCAACATCTATACTGCTCTTGGTAAAAACCTACATTTTTACATTTACACAACTTACAGTAGTTTGAATGTATTTGAATAAGAGTCTCAGAATTTTTTTTTTTTTTTTTATCACCAGTTTTATTAAATGTAACCAGGTGAAAAACATCCCGGTTTGAGAAAGGCTTTAGAGTGGTGGTCTGTTGTAATTGTTTGAGCCACAAGAGAGCGCCAGAAACTTTTGTTTGTAAGGTTTTAATGATAACAAAAAAGAACCAGAGGATCACACGGACTGTTTTGTTTGAACTAAAAACTGGTGGGCTCATCTGGTGGTGATATTCCGCACATTTGGTAAGAACAATCTGTATGAGGTATGGACTTATATTCAAATGTTTGAACTTTAACAGTGGAATGTGTCTTGTTTATTTTGTCCTGTTGCAGAGGCGTCACTGCCGTTTATTCTTCAGTTAACGACACAAAGATTGTTGCTGCGTAAAGGCACTACTAAAGACAAAGTAAGTGATTTATTTTTCAAACTGAACAAGGACCAGACTAGCACCAGAACATATCCAGGACTAGACCAGAATCAGAACCAAGACCGGGACCAGATTGGGCCCAGACCGGGCCCAGACCAGGGCCAGGACTAGGACCGGACTCTAGAATAAAGTTACTTTAACTGCCATAGAAAATTGGATTCTGACCCAAAATGGCTACATTTGAATTTGACATTCAAATGACTGGAGCTACGAGTGGAACTCACTGAACAACAAAGGCACACAGAGATAATGAAACTAAACTGCTGTTAAACTCACCCCCGCTGCACACAGAGACAGCAGCAGAGCCAGCCACAGCATCCTGATGGGGCCTGGTGTTTCTCTGGTGTTTATCTGATGTTTCTGGTATTCTTGGTGTTCCTGGTGTGTGTCCCTCAGAGCGTGTGAGCTGAGGACATCTGGTTAGTCTCTTATAGAGCTCACACGCAAATTCTGTGATCTTAAACCTGAAGGAAATACACTCTACAAGCCTCTACTTAAGACATTCAAATCATCTGCAGGACAAACAAGATGACATACTTAATGTCACCTTATCGAACCAGAGACCAGGGAGAGACCAGAGAAAAGTTTTTGTGGATGGGACAGTGCATATTCATTAACAGCAGCAGCTGTAAATAGCTCATTCAACCCTCACCTATTGTTCATGTTTTTAGTGGTGGTTGAAACTGCAGCACCTGGAGGAACCCGGAGTGCGTGTGCTATCCAATACGCAACTGTGTTGTCCAATTCTGAGAACACTTGAGTTATGAGTGCCCTTCACAGAAAAGTGCCCACCAATAGAAAATGCACTTATATTCTCCCCATGAAATGGGACACCCCTTGTTTGCAAATTGACGCAAACTAGGAGTTCCACGTCACACGCAACATCGTCGTGTTGATATAATTTGCTATAATTAACTAGGTACAAGGCTGCTCCACATCACGCATAAATCTACACATACACACACAGAGAGAGATACACACATACGCGCACAGAGACACACGCACACCGAGACACACAAGTACGTGTTATGTATGTGGCTATATTCACTAAAGCTGAGGTTCTGTTCTTACAGAGACACTACGACTGTAAAACGTTAGAGTTGTTTATCGGTTTGGCCTCCTGTTTACATGGAGACTGAGCTACAGGGTGAAAACCCAAGCGTTGAGAACGACAGAAAGAGAATTCATCACTTCCCCGCAGACATTTGGACATGCGCAGTTGCCGAGAACAAGTAAGTAAGTATTGTTTATTTATATAGCGCATTTTTACAGACCAAGGTCACCCAAAGCACTTTACAATGTTCAGAGTTCAGATCTTGTTCCAATCATTCCACACACAGTGAGGACGGAAGCGGGTCGCCGAACACACTGGACCATCAAAGACCCCAATCAACACCATTCATTCAATCAACAAACATAAACAACAATGACGGCAGGTAAACCAACGCTAGTGTTTCGAGCGCTACACGGAGGACAATTCTACTCCTATGTTCTTCCAAATGAAACCACGCAAAGCTCTAGTTTCACTTTTCATTTCCGCTGCTGCTCTTAAATGCAGAATGATGTTGGTGCATCCTTTCATGTCTTTGCAGTGGTCTGAGGAGGATGTTGTTGAGGAAGTGGTTAACTGCTGGGGGTCCCGCGTGTCGTGTTATAAAGTTCCACTGCCCACTACTGGCCAAGCCCAGGAACTACATAGTTTTCAGTAACCATCTAAACGCTCGGCAGGAGCCTAGTTAGGGCCTTAGGAACACAACGCACACAGCTGTTTTACTCCTCACCTCTTCCGTACGTTGCCCCAGTTCCAAAGCCTTGGCTGAGTGGATAGCACTCTTGCTTCTCAGCAAAATCCTGATTGGAGCAGGGCCTTTCTGAGTGGAGTTTGTTTGTTCTCCCCGTGTCTGCGCAGGTGTCCTCCGGGTGCTTGAGTTTCCCCTACCACTAACATGTACAATAGGTCTGGCAACCTCACACTCTTCTCTGTGAGGAGTGAGAGACAAATGCCCACAACAATTGTAAAGCGCTTTGTGACGCCGGTTTGTGAAAGGCTCTGTATAAATAAATAAATAAATAAAGAAGACAGTATTCAAATGCCACATTGTCGTCTTGGGTGGAATAGAATCAAATAATTTCCATCCATCTTCCTCTTCTTCCACTCAATCCATTTCTGGGTGGAGGGGTGGCAGTCTTATCAGCACCCAACGTTTCCTTCCAACTAAAATACGTGGTACTTACTTCCACAATGCCATCAAGACTTGTGGAATAATACCAATATATAACATGACAAAGAATTATGAACGTTGCATATTCTAGTATACCTACAGAACTTTATACATTCACAAATCAATAAACATCTCTTAACCCCAAATATCAGTTTGGTTACTCAACAGAAAAACGTGCTGGTGGTTTTGTGTCTCTCACTGGATGGCGTGAATGTCCGGCAGTCTCTGCAACCTTAGTAGGTTCACCACTGGTTCAATGGAGAAAGTGTCACAGTGTGCTTAAAGTCTCCAAGAACTGCTTCTTCTCGTCTGTGTGAGATAGATGCTTTGTTCAGGGCAGATCACTACGCTCTTTGTAAACAAACATGGCATGCGAGGCTTGAAACTTGTTAATAAAAGATAGCTTAAGGTATATTATAATGATTCATTAATTGCTAGAAATTTCATGGAGAACTTTTAGGGTATGATCAGATAGTGACATAGTGACGCTAAAACCAGTCTCGAAATGTAGTGCCCAAGTCGCTGGAACAAAAATTGATGTCCAGCCACATACATAAAATTAGCGGATGACCTAGCAGCCCCTGTGTCTAATTCCATTTTATTCCCATTAACTTTAGGTTTTACAGAAATACGTGAATATTTTCACTTGCTAGATAATGCAAACAGTAACATTTCATTATCAGAATCAGTCGTCTCTTCACTTTGTCGCGGGCCTCCACACGGTGCACTTTTCTTTTCTGTCTCCTCTGTTGTTCTTGGATGGGTGGCTCTTCCCTTTGAAATCCAGTTTTCCATCTCTGTATTTTCTCTTTGACACAGTCATTCTTGGATTTACTTATGCAGGTTATGTGATAAGAATGTGGCCTTTCTTACCACAATGATAACAAGCCGCTAAACTGTTTCAGCACGGCAAACATGACCGCTTTATTGAATGTTAAAGTGTTCTCAGTCATCAGCTGCTTTTGAACAGTTTCACTTTTCAGTCCACAGACAAACTTGTCCCGTAGTGCTTCCTCCAAATAACCTCGAAGCTCGCAGTGTTCGGACGTTCCTTTCAGCACAGCGACATACTGAGCCACAGATTCCTCCTCGTAATCTTTCCGCAATAACTAACAGTTTGGGGGCAAAATGTGACATTGTTTTCAAGACGTTCGATATATGCTCTCCATTGCTCACCGGATTCCTTAAATGGTTCCATACCATCAATAAGTCCCGCCATGGTGCATTATTCTGGTTCTTTTTTCCCTTTCTTCTATTCTATCGTAATGCATCATGGGATACTCGGTTGCCCTCAATTGTGCTCTGGGGGTCACGTACTCCAAGGGACCTATTTAGGGGTGAGAGTCTTTCTACACCCCCCGCAGGCATGCGCAAAAAACTAGAATAAAGGAACAAATTAAGGTCTAGGGTTAGAATTGCGACGGGCCTCTAGTCCCACAGTTTTACACAGCTTAAAAGTATGACATAAACAACTTAAACATCATCAACAAACTTCTTAAATATCAAATGACATAAAAGAAATACCAGGCTGAGGCTGTTGATTTCAATTAACAACACTTTCTCCACCTCCTGAGACTAAAGTTACCCCAGCTTTATATCAGTGAGTTAAATCATAGAAATTTAGAGAAAGAAAAAAAGGGATAGAGAGACCAGAGAGAATCTTAGGGACGTGTCAAGTGTCTTAAAAACACATATTTTTATAAGTAGGAGAACATGCAAACTTTGTGTCATGACCTCGGCAGCTCAGTCCCTGAAGAGACGGATTTGCATCGTTCATCCAAACAAAAGACAGCTTAAGGAAACACTGCAGACATTTTAGAGATGTGTTGGTCTCACATTTGACTGAAATCAACAAAACAAACAAAGTGATGCCTGCGGTCGTCCAAACACAGGCAAATCAGCAGAGCCCAACTCTACTCTCTCTGTGCTCTGGGAGCAGATGTACTCTCTCTCTCTGTGCTCTGGGAGCAGGCGTACTCTCTCTCTCTGTGCTCTGGGAGCAGATGTACTCTCTCTCTCTGTGCTCTGGGAGCAGATGTACTCTCTCTCTCTGTGCTCTGGGAGCAGATGTACTCTCTCTCTGTGCTCTGGGAGCAGATGTACTCTCTCTGTGCTCTGGGAGCAGATGTACTCTCTCTCTCTGTGCTCTGGGAGCAGATGTACTCTCTCTCTGTGCTCTGGGAGCAGGCGTACTCTCTCTCTCTGTGCTCTGGGAGCAGATGTACTCTCTCTCTGTGCTCTGGGAGCAGATGTACTCTCTCTCTGTGCTCTGGGAGCAGATGTACTCTCTCTCTGTGCTCTGGGAGCAGGTGTACTCTCTGTGCTCTGGGAGCAGGTGTACTCTCTCTCTGTGCTCTGGGAGCAGGTGTACTTTCTCTCTGTGCTCTGGGAGCAGGTGTACTCTCTCTCTGTGCTCTGGGAGCAGACCAAGACAGAACAGGATGATAGAGAGATCCAATCTTTTCACTCGTTTCTCTTTTCTTTTCCTCTGCATTTGACCCATCATTCAAAGCTACAAGGGGCTGTCTCTTGAGTAGAGTACAGCAGAGCAGGGAAAGGACAAACTCATTAAAAACAAAGGGTTATTTTGTATAAACCTTTATTAAAGTTGAGACACATTCAGAGCATGTTACATATTTCTAATTGCTCTACAGTATATATAAATAAATATCTTACATACAAGAGGACGTCTAGTCCCCATCTGTCATGTCAATACAATCACGGCTGCATCAGAACTAAGAAGAAAACTTGATTCAGCAGATGACATAATGTTGTGTCTCAATCTGGAAAGAATCGACCAGGCTGATTATATGACATCCGCATTAAAAAAAAGGGGAGGAGGAGGGTTGCAGCACCAGCTGAACAGATGCAGAAATCACTGTTTAAAAGCTGATGGATCAGCAGCCCAATTGGGCAGAGCTAACCTGCTAGCATCACACCATCAGATACATTTTAACTTTTGTCTCTGTATCCAGATACAACAGCCAATCAGAGCGCTAGTTGCTAAGGCAAGCTGGAGTATCCCCCACAAATGAAGGCCTCTGATTGGTCAATCCGTATATGGCTCTTATCTGGATAAACAAATACAATATCACGATAGAAACAGAAGTCAAAAATGGTGAGCGAGACACAGACTGTTACTGAGCTAGAGGAGTTTCATTTTACATGGAAGTAAATAGGAGCCAAACTTCACCATGAGCACTTCCCTATTCTTGTCTTGCAATCACGCGACACATCAACTTCCGGTTCCAGTGGTCAGGCCAACAAAAATTGCAGCTGATACGCAAAGAAAAAGTGACTCTTCTTCCAAGTATTTTCGTTCTTTTTAGGATATTTCTTGACACTTTGAAGCTAATGTGGTTAAAGTTCTAACTCATCATTCTAACAATATGCACAAGGCAGTATTTTTCCACTACATGTTTTGGTTATTTACATGATCATAGACTGCCATTTTCTTCACTTTAGATTCTAATTCTTGAGCTCGATACATCGAACAAGTCAAATTGTGTAATGGTATAGATCCTAATGCGTTATCCAAGAATAATTTGATTTGAGAGTTAGAAAAATACCCGTCAGCTCAGTTCCTGGATATCTCAAACTATTATGTTTTAACCATGTATTGTTTAATTTTTATGTAAAGGCCCAACTAGGGACGGACATTGAGAATTAGCTTTGGCTAAAATGTTGTAGTATGTAACATGAGCTTATGTGACATACTTGTCCCTATTCAAATAAACTTAAAATAAATAAATTAAATAAATAAACTAGAGTTACAATCAAGCTTTTGCACTGCTAAACAAATGAAGGCTTGGAAAAACATGGATGCCTAAAACTTTTTCGTCTGTGGGTGGGTTAAGGAACTCATAGTTAAGGTGCAAATTCTGCATCGTAAAGAACCAACAAAACAATGTGTACATGTGGCTGTGTTCTTTTCAAACATTCTCAGTGTTTATCTAAAACGCCAACTCATACCTGAAAATTAATTTTAAAAAAAGATGGGGATGTAATAACTGCACATTGTGACTGCATGGCTGTGTAAATAAATAATTCTTCAATGTAAAAGTGTTTGCTAGTGAAATGTTAGAAAGCCACTTTTCCTGCGTCGTAAAGTCCTTCCAAAATTGGACCATGTGTCATTGTGCATTCAAACTCTATGATATAACTATCACTAGTTTTATTTCTTGTGACCTTTACAATACAGTTATAGAAAAGTAATACTCAATGTACAATCTGAGTCGTTCTCTATAGTTAGAAAACAGCTAAAGTAAAACTTAAAGGCGCTATACCCGTTTCTGCAATGTTTGAATGTTTAGCACCGCCCCCCAACTCGCTCACAGGCTTCTCATTTCCCCTACGCTCTCATAACACGGAGCCACCTAGTTTTATTTGCGATCTGATACGAATGCTAACATTAGCATTAGCGCAACTTATAACTGTGCAACAATCACTGAAGAAATGGCACTAAAGCAATGCACTGCTAACACAATATATAAGTAAAAGAATACCGCTAGTTTCGCATCCGAATGTATTAAATTAAACATTAGAATATATTAAGAATATTTAATTATAATTTATTATACAGCTCCTCACAGCAGCAGCACTTCATTGACTTGAATGTAATTCTTCCGATCATTTTGTCTTGATAACAGAACTCTCAAACCATTATGACCGCAGCCCGCAGAATTACAATCTCTGTTTGTAATTCAGGTGTGTAAAATACTGCCATTACTCCGCAAGTACAACAAGCTATCAGCGCCTGTCACTACACTGTGCAGTTTTTCTGCACACTTGTCTGTGTAGAGAAGCTAGCGGAGCTAGCGGAGCTAGCCACGCTCAATAAACAAATGCATATCAATCAATCAACACCATTAAACGTTAATCGGACAATACAGTATACATATACATCCTTAACACACATGCACGGACGATTTCAGAATTTGCTGTTAACGTTTTCATGACAGAAATACTGTTTTAAAGTGACAAAAAGCGATCGCGAAAAACCCGGAAGTTACCATGAAACAGCTAGCTAGCTTAGCTGTTACCTGCCTAGCACGTCCCGGTGAAACCTTTGGGAGCTAACTATTTTATTTGCACTCAATTAAATACATTTCGAATTATAAGGGCTGTCTAATATGTGTTCGAATATATATATATTTTTAATTTTAGAATTATATTTGAATTTTGAAGTCGAAGCCCTGGTGTTGAGCAGCGCTGTAGGGGCTAGAGGACGCAGGCTGTAGAGGCTAGAGGACGCAGGCTGTAGAGGCTAGAGGACGCAGGCTGTAGAGGCTAGAGGACACAGGCTGTAGAGACTAGAGGACGCAGGCTGTAGAGGCTAGAGGACGCAGGCTGTAGAGGCTAGAGGACACAGGCTGTAGAGACTAGAGGACACAGGCTGTAGAGGCTAGAGGACGCAGGCTGTAGAGGCTAGAGGACACAGGCTGTAGAGGCTAGAGGACGCAGGCTGTAGAGACTAGAGGACACAGGCTGTAGAGACTAGAGGACACAGGCTGTAGAGACTAGAGGACACAGGCTGTAGAGGCTAGAGGACGCAGGCTGTAGAGGCTAGAGGACACAGGCTGTAGAGGCTAGAGGACGCAGGCTGTAGAGGCTAGAGGACGCAGGCTGTAGAGGCTAGAGGACACAGGCTGTAGAGACTAGAGGACGCAGGCTGTAGAGGCTAGAGGACACAGGCTGTAGAGGCTAGAGGACGCAGGCTGTAGAGACTAGAGGACACAGGCTGTAGAGACTAGAGGACACAGGCTGTAGAGACTAGAGGACGCAGGCTGTAGAGGCTAGAGGACACAGGCTGTAGAGGCTAGAGGACGCAGGCTGTAGAGGACACAGGCTGTAGAGGCTAGAGGACACAGGCTGTAGAGACTAGAGGACACAGGCTGTAGAGGCTAGAGGACGCAGGCTGTAGAGGCTAGAGGACACAGGCTGTAGAGGCTAGAGGACGCAGGCTGTAGAGACTAGAGGACACAGGCTGTAGAGACTAGAGGACGCAGGCTGTAGAGACTAGAGGACACAGGCTGTAGAGGCTAGAGGACGCAGGCTGTAGAGGCTAGAGGACGCAGGCTGTAGAGGCTAGAGGACGCAGGCTGTAGAGACTAGAGGACACAGGCTGTAGAGGCTAGAGGACGCAGGCTGTAGAGACTAGAGGACGCAGGCTGTAGAGGCTAGAGGACGCAGGCTGTAGAGGCTAGAGGACACAGGCTGTAGAGGCTAGAGGACGCAGGCTGTAGAGGCTAGAGGACACAGGCTGTAGAGACTAGAGGACACAGACTGTAGAGACTAGAGGACACAGGCTGTAGAGACTAGAGGACGCAGGCTGTAGAGGCTAGAGGACGCAGGCTGTAGAGGCTAGAGGACACAGGCTGTAGAGGCTAGAGGACGCAGGCTGTAGAGGCTAGAGGACACAGGCTGTAGAGACTAGAGGACGCAGGCTGTAGAGGCTAGAGGACGCAGGCTGTAGAGGCTAGAGGACGCAGGCTGTAGAGACTAGAGGACACAGGCTGTAGAGGCTAGAGGACGCAGGCTGTAGAGACTAGAGGACGCAGGCTGTAGAGGCTAGAGGACGCAGGCTGTAGAGGCTAGAGGACGCAGGCTGGTCGCTGTGAGTGGAGGAGAACGAGCCCCGCTCAGACTCTGTTCAGCACTTTTCAAGGCCTAAACTCATACACCGCTGAATCAATGACCTCAAGTTTTCAATTAAATGATGTATTATGATACAACTTGTATGTAGTAAAATGCTTTTTTATGAACTACTTAAAAAAATCGGGTATAGCTTCTTTAAGCGTTCAGTGATTATACAAGAATGATTTTTTTTATCTAAAATGGCTTAGATTGTTATTTTTATGTATTTTATTGGGAAAATAGAGCAACAGTGATACTTGATAAAAGTGACTTAAAAGCTGGGTTATCTGACTTTTTATTTAGTGAGTAATACATGCTGTTTGGCCTCTCACTAGTCTCTCTCTGGTTCCGTACCCCAGCCTGAAATGAAGTGAGTTCTCATTGCGTTAAACAAATTCAACTTCACAAAGTGTTGTGAAGAACATTTGATGGTTTTTCCTCCAAATCGAACAACATGTCACTTATATTATACTTTAACTTTAATCTATTTCATGCTTTTTCTCTGAGAATAAGGCAAAGTCCAGATTCCAGCTCATAAAAATAATAATAAAATAAAAATGCCCTTTTAAAACACTAGGCTCTACGAGCTCTGGTGTTAAACTTGTTTTTTTGTAACTTGCAGCTAATTAAAGTGCTTTGTACCATGTGCACAAACACATCCCTCATGAACAGGCTTCAGAACTGTCCCTGGGGTTAAAGGTCACAGCTGCAGTGCTTCCTCCAGCCCACAGGGGGCACTCTGCTAACATTCACTATGCGAGTCCAGGTCCGGGGGTTTCTTCTTCTCTCTGTCGTCGACGCTGGAGTCTTCTGTTGCAGCCAGGAGGACCAGAGGGGACTTCCTGTGACCAGAGAAGTAACACGTGAGAACTATGTGTGAACCATGTGTGTGTGTTTAAAGTCCTCATATGGACTAGAGGCCACCCGCGGTACTGCAGTCTGAACTTTTAACCAGAGAAAGACTAGGGTGATTCTCAGTTGTGGTGGTTCCACAAGTCTCACTTGGTCCCTGTCTGGTCTCACCTGGTCCTGTTAGGTCTCACCTGGTCCCTGTATGTGTGATGAGCCTCCTGCAGGTCTCCATCTGGACGTCCAGACCCCTCTTCATGGTACACATCTCCATGTACTCCTGCAGGTGACGCGTCATGTCGCTCTTTGCTGTCGCTAACTCCACCTGCAACACACCAGGTCCTCACACCAAGTCTCACACCAGATCTCAGACCATGGAGCACTATGGCTCCAGTGGAGGGTACAGTTAGAGTAACGGCCGCCTCTCTGCAGAGTCAGCTCGCAGCGTGCATACACACACCAGCAGGGAGCACAGAACAGTGTTTGTCCACATGGTCTCTGTGTCAGATGTATATGTGTGTCCACATGGTCTCTGTGTCAGATGTATATGTGTCCACATGGTCTCTGGGAGCTAACCTCGATCTGGTCGATAGTCTCCTGGTATTCCTTCTCTCTGGTCTTGAACAGAGACTCTGTGTCGTCTATCACTTTCTCGATGGATTCCTCCTGGTGCTGCGGGCACAGATCAATCAATCAATGTTTATTTCTATAGCACAGTTCATACAGAATGCAACCCAAAGTGCTTCACATCGGCAACATTTAAAAGCAATTTAAAAACAGACTGTAAAAACAAACACAAAAGACAGTTTAAGAAAATGAATAAATATATACATCAAAAATAAATGTATGATCCGATTTCTTGATGATCAGTCGTAGGCACGGCTGAAAAGAACCGTTTTCAGCCTGGACTTGAACATAGCTAAAGAAGGAGCCTGTCTCACACCTTCGGGAAGACTGTTCCAGATTCTAGGTGCATAGGTCTGGAACGCTGCCTCCCCATGTCTAGTCCCGACTCTGGGAACCAACAGGAGGCCAGTCCCCGCGCTCCTCAGAGTTCGAGCGGGCTCGTACGGTACCAGCATGTTGCATATGTATTTTGGTGCGAGACCACAGAGAGACTTATATACAAGGAGAGCTGATTTAAAATCTATTCTCTGGGCTACAGGAAGCCAGTGCAGAGACCTGAGGACTGGACTAATGTGGTCGTACTTCCTGGTTCCTGTCAGGACTCGAGCTGCAGCATTTTGAATGTACTGTAGCTGCTTTACAGTTCCTTTGGACAGACCAGAGAGAAGGCCGTTGCAGTAGTCTAACCTACTAGAAACAAAAGCATGAATGACAATCTCTAAGTCTGCCTTAGACATTATGCCCCTAATTCTAGCAATGTTCTTTAGATGGTAGAAAGCCGCTGAAGTTACAGATTTAATGTGACTATTGAAATTGAGGTCCGAGTCCATGATTACTCCTAGATTTCTAACCTGATTTTTGTAATTTGGAGACAGAGAAACGGATTGGAGAAGGCTGCACACACTTTCTCTGAGTTTCTGTGGGCCAAACACAATAACTTCAGTTTTGTTTGAATTTAACTGAAGAAAGTTATTTTGCATCCATTAGTTTGATGCCGTGACAGAGTGACTCAATTGGCCCAAGTTCACCCGCAGCCAGTGAGACATAAATCTGCGTATCATCTGCATAATTGTGATAGGATACATTTTGGCCTCGAATCAATTGACCTAGTGGCAACATATAAATATTAAAAAGAAGGGGGCCCAGAATTGAACCTTGGGGCACTCCACTTGTTAAGGCCACCTGGTCTGAAACACAGTCCCCAATCTCAACAAAGTACTGTCTGTCCTCTAAGTAGGACTTGCACCAACTTAAGGCAGTGCCAGTGATGCCAACCCATCCCTCAAGTCTCTGCAGGAGGATCTCGTGATCAACAGTGTCAAAGGCTGCACTGAGATCCAACAGGACCAACACTGTGGCTTTGCCTAAGATACAAACACAGGGACATGTGAGGTTAGGGTTATTTAGCATTTAAAAATTTACAGAGCACAGGTACAAGAGGGCACAGGGAAGACTCTGCTACAACTTCTAATGCTACTGCTTCGGTCCTGGATCTAAAGCCTCAGTCCTGGGTCTACAGCCTCAGTCCTGGATCTACAGCCTCAGTCCTGGATCTAAAGCCTCAGTCCTGGATCTACAGCCTCAGTCCTGGGTCTACAGCCTCAGTCCTGGGTCTACAGCCTCAGTCCTGGATCTACAGCCTCAGTCCTGGATCTACAGCCTCAGTCCTGGATCTACAGCCTAAGTCCTGGGTGTACAGCCTCAGTCCTGGGTCTACAGCCTCAGCTCACCTCAGTCTGAGCCTCAGCTGGTACAGACCCGGGGAAGTCCTCCCACAGCAGCAGAGTCTCCTCAGTCTCCTCCCAGGCCAAACTGTCACAGTCGTCCTCAAAGTCACACTCCCTCCTGCAACACAACAAGAGAGAGACCATGTAGAGATCAGGAAGAGACCATAGAGAGAGACCATAAAGATCTCAGCCATTCATTAAGGTGACATACAGCTGGTTGAGCATCCGCTGAACCTGCTCGCTGATCTGATTGGCTGAAGCACTGGACTCCTCGTCTTTAGGCCCGCCCCCCTCGCTCTCTGATAGGCTGCTGACCTCGTCACCGTCAGTGCTTGCCCTCACTGATTGGCCGCTGAGCTTCCTGGTCCGACGCACCAGAGTGGAAGGTGGAGTAGAGACCTAACAGAGGACATGATTGGTGAGAGAGACCAGAGAGAGACAGAGAGAGGGAGAGGGAGAAAGAGAGAGAGGGAGACCTGGTCCTGGTCTGACCTGGAACATGTCTTCACTGTTCCTCTGTTGAGCGACGTCACAGAGTTTTGCCGTGATGTCGATCCTTCTGCAGATGTCCATGTCCACCTTTAGGGCCTTCTCCTGGATCTGACTGTCCAGCTCTGACAGGTTCTGAACAGAAGACAGGGAGCAGAAACAGACAGAGGGCAAAGTTATTAATATAGCATGGCACAGCATATAGCACAAGGCAACCACAGACTGTAAATATAACGGACATGCTCATAGACCTTTAGGAGCCAGGACCCACTCCCAACGAAGGCAACAAAACAACATATTTTACGACCGTGTGCTGCTCCCTCTGGTGGCAGCAAAGAGAGTTACAGGTGCAAATCATTATTCACCCTCTCACTGGTCTCACTATAGATGTTCTACTGAGGTTATTATTTCATATTATAGAACAAACGTAAAAAGTGTTGAATGGATAACGGTGGTGATGTCACACGGTGGTGATGTCACGCGATGGTGATGTCACGCGATGGTGATGTCACACTCACGCTGCTGACGAGGCCTTTGAACAGGACGAGCTCCGCCTTCAGATGCTTCACGCTCAGAGACAGTTTGTCATGCACCACCTCACTCTCCTGCAGCTCCTGAACACACATGGCCACGCACATGGTCACGCACATAGTCACACACATGGTCTCACTCACACGGTCACATAAACATGGTCACACTCATGGTCTCACACATGATTACACACACACACACACACAGTCACACACACACCATAATATCACAATATCACAGCTACACAAATTCTAAAACCAGAGACACAGCAGTTTTCTACATTATAAATAATATAGTTTCCTCACGTCGTCGAGTTGAGCCACTCTGTCCTGCAGCTCCACTCTGGCCGTGTACTCCTCCTCCCACCTGCAACAACACACATGGTTTAGGATTTCACACACATTCACACATTGCTTGTGTCCTGGAGTTCTGTCTGAGATTATGTCTCATTACGCTGTCTGTTACATCATTCCTCAGTGAAGGACAGAGAGCAGGAACAGAGACCATTTATCTCACAAATATAGTCTCAGTCTACTACATGAATTATGACCACTTTTTTATTTTTTATAGAAGAGAGAGAGAGAGAGACCAGAGAGAGCTGAAGGGTAGTCACGAACACTCTTCCTGCAGTCTCTCTCTCTTTCTCTGTGTCTAAAGACGAGCTTTAAATCGATGACGCTGTAGAAAACACACTGTGACATCACAGGGACAGAGCAGAGGATCATGGGAAATTGAGGCTCAAACAGAGGACTACAGAGACGTGACTGTGTGACACAGCACAGTCCCAGCTGCTGTGGTGCAATGCAGAGACTGGAGGAGGAGGAGAGTGGAGGAGGAGGAGAGAGAGAAGGAGGAGAAGAGAAAGGAGGAGGGGGAGAAGAGCGAGGCAGAAGATAGAGACTGAGGAGGAAAGAGCAAGGGGAGGAGAGAGAACGAGGAGGAGACTGGAATAGGAGGATGAGGAGAGAGAGGGGGTAAGAGGGACTAAGGAGGAGAGAGGAGGTTAGAGGGAGAGATTGAGGAGAATGAGACTGAAGTAGGAGGATGAGGAGAGAGCGCGGTAAGAGGGACTGAGGAAGAGAGAACAAGAGAGGGGAGGAGAGGGACTGAGGAGGAGGAGAAGAGAGATGGGAAGGAGGAGGAGGAGAAGAGAGATGGGAAGGTGGAGGAGGAGAAGAGAGATGGGAAGGAGGAGGAGAGAGGGTTGAGGCTGTGTAAATAATGACCTTTGACCTTACTTTAAATCAGAAACATGGAGCATGTGAAGGTCAGAGCTCAGTGCTGCTGTGATAATGAAGGATCAGGACGAGAGACCAGGGAGAAAGACCAGGGAGAGACCAGGGAGATAGACCAGGGAGAGAGACCAGGGAGAGACCAGGGAGAGACCAGGGAGAGACCAGGGAGAGAGACCAGGGAGAGAGACCAGGGAGAGACCAGGGAGAGACCAGGGAGAGACCAAATAATAGACTAGAGTAGATTAGAGCTGCTGCTAACAGATGAAGCAGCTGTGATGATTGTCGACAAAAACTAAATCCATAATTGTTTCCTGTATCTCGGATTCAGAGGAAACACATCCACAAACCGTTACCACGGCAACAATCGATACAAGGATTTATCACCGACAAAAAACAACATGCCAGAGGAGCCACAGGTCTTTCTCTGGTCTCTCTCTCGAGTCTCTTACCTCCTCTTGTACTCGTCCCTCTCTCTCTTCACTTTGCCAAGCACATTGTACAGTGCCCTGATCTCTGGTGTGATGGTGTCGATCTGCACCCCGACTCCATCGGGACAGTCCCAGGCCGGTCCAGATCCAGTGCGTGAGACCCTCCTGCTCCTGATTGACCACAGATTGGGCAGGAAGCGCATCTCTTTCCGATTGGGACTACTGCAGTCTGTGGTTTGGAGTCGGTGTGTTTCCAGCAGAGGGGGAGGGTTGAGGTTAGGGGACAGCAGAGGGGGAGGGTTGAGGGTGGGTGACAGGATGCCCCCAGGCAGGTAGGCCGGGTCATTTCCAATGGGGATGTACCCCGGGCGGGCCAGGATGGGTGCTATGAAGCCGGTCTGGACCCCCACCTCTCGGGTCATCAGCCTCTGCGCCTCCTCCAGTCGACCTCCCTCCAGCGCCCCCTGCAGCTGCTGCTCCAGGAGGCGGTTGCGTCGCTCCAACTCGTGAACTTTGGCCAAAAAGCAGCGGAACCTGAGGTTGAGGGTCTTGAGGACGCTGATGTTGGAGCCCAGGTCGTTACGCAGCGCTGAGGCAGCAGGGGGCGCTCTGTGGTGAGGGAAGTGCAGGTAGGCCAGGCCAGGAGGGTCCAGGGAGTACTCAGAGGAGAAGCAAGAGGGGTCCCCCAGGAGGTGCCCTGGGTCCTGGGAGTCATGTTGGAGGTACAGGGGGAGAGGCGGGGGAGGCATGAAGGTGCTCTCCCCCAGAAGGGAGTTCATGTTGGAGCAGAAGCGGGAATGCTCAAAGTCCGGCATCAACGTTGTGTGTCGGGGATAAGCAGGAGAGAAGGGGAGGCAGAGAAGGAAGAGACACAGGAGGCAGAGAAGCTGGCGTTGGAGAGCTGAAGAGGAGAAATAAATAATATTGTTTGGAATTAAGAAGTTAAAATGTATATGCCATTTTAAAACCAATATTCACAACAGTGGGATCAGCACTATGAAGCAAACATCCACATGGTATGGACTGGTGCTGGACACTTCACCAGAATTACATACTCTTCTTTCTCCACACTGAAACTTTTATTCCAATAAAGAATGGCCTCCTTCATCTGTCCTGCACTTACATCTGTATCAGCTATGTTTACAGGCTTGTTTTGGTTTATAGCAGTCTTTTCTACAGGAAATACCATGAGATCACAAGAAAACAAAGACCAGAGACAAAAGAGAGACCAGAAATCAGCGACTAAAGAGACCAGTTACATAATTACTACAGTAAATACCATGAGAATACAATTTTTGTAACAAGACACTTTGATCAATATTTCTGCTGGAGTCGGCGCCGCTCTGTCCTGCAGCTGCCTCTGGTTCAGCTCATACACAGTGGGGTAAAATTTATATATTTAAAGCTGTTTATTTTGTGTGTGTGCAAATAGAACAGATGTGACTTAAAGCTGGGGTATTGAACTTCCAAACTAATTAAATCCATTGCTCGTAGAACAGTTGCTTGTCACTAATTTTCAACTTTCAAACATTTTTCAGATATGAACAAGTGAGATGGGTTCTATTGATCTTAATGCATGGTCTCAGTCTACCTGCTACTGGTCCTTGTCTGGTTAATGTATAGTCTGGGGCCCTATAGTTTTCCACATCTTTAGGTCAGATTTTACAGACAGAAAAATGAAACTGGACCACCCTCACTCAGCCAATCAGCTCTCAGCACAGAGTGACTCAGGGCTCTTCCTGACAAAGATAAACATGTTTTCTAATACGTTGAAGACAATGTGATAATTTTTTCCATGATGCCATTTTGGGACAAACATGTCTAATGTTAAAACGTCACGTACCTCAGCTTTAATGTGCTGTAGACAATGCCCAGTGTTCCTGCGCCAAGGACAGTATGACCCGGATGCGAGGATCCCGTGCGTGACAGACGCGGGTCTGTGTTCAGAGAGACAGGAACGCGCAGTCTCTTGACTGGCGCAGAGCGGGCATGGGTTGAGCGGGAGAACCGTGTCTGTGTGCGCATCAGGTCAGTGGCAGGCGCAATCTCGCTGCAGTGTTTTACCGTAAGAATCAGACGCATGCGCTTTTGAGACGTAATGACGAGTGTAAAGGTGCAGGAAGATTTTACTCATTTTAGAGGAGACAAGACAATTTCCAGCATTGCATTTGAGCGAGAAATGTATCAGGAATACTGCACAACGAGTTTGTACATTAAGGACAGTGGTCGTCTCGCTCCTAATGGAGCCCCCTATATTATTAAATGTGCTTATTGCATTTCCTGTGTTTAGTCCGATCTGTTGGTGAATCCACAACTTTCATAATCCTGAGAAACTATAGAGCTGACAATGGAGAAATGAACGTGTCACATTGAGCATTCGATCCCAGTAAAAACAGACAGTTACACTTTAGAAAGTTAGTCTTTATTTTCAATAAAGTCAATTGAATATTTTAGTTCAGACAGTTTAGATTCTTAGTATTAGAGTGAGGGAGGTCCAGGGTCAGAGGTCACTCCATGGAGGCCATGTGCAGCACCAGGTCACACACACGGTTACTGTAGCCATACTCGTTATCGTACCTGCAAACACAGTGGAATCTTTAGTAACAGACAAAGCAACAGACAGAACTGAGTGAGTTTTACCAAGACACCAGCTTGACAAAGCGGTCGTTGAGTGCAATCCCAGCTCCAGCATCAAAAGTGGAGGAGTGAGAATCTCCGTTAAAGTCTGAGGACACCACCTGAACAAGAAAAACAGTTAAGTTTTATTATGACCACAGACAGATTGCGTCAATGAGCTAGCATTGTCTAATGGGGAAACTTGCACATCTGTCAAATTGACGTCATGTTCAAATTGACTTCTGCATTAAAGGTGGTGATGTCACACAGTACCTGGTCTTCCGTGTATCCCAGGATTCCCTTCATGGGTCCCTCAGACGCCGCCTTCATCACCTTCTTAATGGCATCGTACGTCGCCTGAAGCAGAGTTTGATTAAGGTTTAGAGCCAAGACAGTCATGCTTATATTAGGAACAGACTGAATCCAGGAGCAGCTGAGTCTCACCGGTTTGCTCAGACGGACGGTGAGGTCAACCACCGACACGTTTGGAGTCGGGACACGGAACGCCATCCCAGTGAGTTTACTGCAACACAGAAACTTTACCATCAGGACCTTGGGTTCAGAGAGACCCCAGTTAAACACAGCGATCTGTCTGAGCCCAGTTTCCTAGACTTTAAATGCAGGAGAAGAGTTACTCATCAGAATAATACAAACAAACATTCTATGTTGCAACACTTCCAAACAATCATCCTATGTGCAGTACTTTTATTTATTTATATATTTGTTTTAATTCATAAACTGCATAAATATTTATCTTATAACGCCCTCTACATATCCTGGTCATTTGACATTTTAGTGCAAATAAGAAAATCTAACTTTTGAGTGTAAAAACTGTCTGTGGCGCCCTTGCTACCTTTTTGGTGGCACTAAATTTGAGTTTTGTGCCAGGCCTCTCCTTTGGCTCTGGAGTGAAGTCAGTTGTATGCGTGACCTGCGCCTCTCTGCACCAATGATCTAAACCCATTCAAGCCTCACACACACCCAAGTAGCAGGTTGGAGTATTCTGGTGACATCTAGTGGATTAATATTAAATTACATCAGTTGACCGCCACTACTGCTGAGATAGATTATTTTCCATCAATGCTTATTATTACCCATGATGCTTTGCGCCAACGCCATGTTGTGGGTCTGGCTTATGGAGACAAATGATCCGTGCAATATGTCATCTAAAAGCCACGAATTCGGCCGACGCTGACTGCGTTAAGTTTATTGATACACTGGAGTAATCTGAGGCAAGATCCTTTGAGAAATTGAGTGATCGGAGATTTGGATCCGTATGAAATGTGGTGAGACCAGTGGAATTTGCCAGAAAAGGCTTACTTCACTGAAGTCTTACAATTAAAAAAGGTCATGATTTATATGATGCAATATTTCTTTCAATCAATAATTTATTTTGAACAAAGCAGTTTATATTCCAGGCTGTAAATTACTTCTGTCTACCACCCTCCAAACGACGCAGGTAGTCGGAATGTTTTAGTGCAGGGGTGCTCAATACGTCGATCGCGATCTACCGGTCGATCGCAAAGGTAGTATTGGTAGATCGCATTAAATAAATAAAATACACATTCTAAACGAATATATAAAAAAAACTCCGGGCAAAGTGGAGATTTTTGAAAACTCCGTTAATGCATTTGTGTGTAGACAGAGATAACCGGAGTTTTGCGCCACAGTACCCCCCTAAATTCCTCTGATCACTGAAGCATGGATCATACTACCTTAAAAACTGTTCGCTGTGAGATGCTCGCAGCAGCGAACATCCTCCACATCAGAGAGCAGCAAAGTGATCGCGGGGACTCACGCTCGGAAACAACCAAACCAGGACTAAACCAGGACTAAACCAGGGCTGAGGACGGGGTCAGTGCTTGTAAACATACGTCTTTACTCTGAGTGTCTTCTATGACTGTAAAAGTGCCGTTACCGGCGTCTGCATCAAAGCTCCGCCCACTTCTGTGTTTTTCCCCAACGCAGGACAGGACGTAAGAGACGCACATGTTTGGAATGTTACGAATGTGACTGATAACGCAGATGTGTGGATATACTAATTTTATAAACTGAGGGGAAATATTTGGATTTAAAAAAAACAGGCATGGCACATGGACATGGCACCACAGTCAAATGACATCGGTGTTTTACTCAGTAATGTTTTACTCAGTAATGTTTTACTGACACTTAGGTGACTGCACATGCGCAAACAACCGCGCTCAGTGCAGGAAAGCTAAACCACGACAAACTTGTCAGCGAGTTACCACCAATTTTCCGGACTATGCATCCCTGGCCAATTCAATTCAGTGCAAGTCATCAGAGTAAACTCGGGTAATGACAAAAAATGTATATAGGTAATTGTGTTGTGTTGTGCTATATTGGCTCATGCGGTTTTGCATGTACATAAACATACATTGTAGGTATAAAGAATATTTTTTGAAATAAATATATGATTTGCATTTTTGTAGTAGATAGATCATTTTGACTTGATCCTTTTATAAGTAGCTTGCATGCTGGAAAAGTGTGAGTACCCCTGTTTTAGTGCAACAAAAAAAAAAAAAAAAATTAATACATATATAGAAAAAGCTGCGCTACGTTTTGTTTACCTAAAACTATCGCCGGCTAGACCCACAATATGGCGAACTGCGGAATTGTGGATAGTGAGTGACGTCAATGGAAAACCATCTATTCAGTGGCTTAGGTTCAGGACTAGCCTGGTCGTACCACACCATAGTACAAAATACATTTCGTACTAAGGGCTGAGGTGCTCCATTGAGCTCAGTTATCAGGTGGGAGGGGTCAACTCCTTTTGAAGATTGAAACGATTGGATCAGAGTTTACCGTGACGCATGTTATGGGCCTGAGTGAGTCGTTAGCGTTTAGCCATCTCCTTTGCCTGTGGGGTGTAGTGTCAATCTTTGCCAGCAATTACATTTGCTAAAAATTCCTCTTGCATCAATTTCTTGATAGAACCAGAACGGATCACTTTACCATCGCATTCTTCGCCATTGCCAAACTACAACCCGCCCGCAAACTTGTGACGTTACCCACATCTAACTATAACACCCCCCCTCCCCCCGAGTGGTCGGATGGAATTCAACAGATTGTAATCGCAAACACAGGAACCAGACATTACATGCAGGGAAATTATAATTGAGCCGAGTGTACGAATGGCCAAGGTCAGGCTAGTTCAGGTGTGTAGCGCTACATCTATCTTAGTGCTTAGGCAAAGGTGGAATGAACATTTGTTGCTTTAGGCAACAATGATAACCGTTTTTAGTGTGTGACAAGCGAGCTGTCAATCACAGCTCAGACCACACCCAACTCTGCACCCCCCCCCCCGTCCCCTGATCCTTCAGGCAACACTCTTTAAATGTTCATGTGGGCAGAGTAAGGCTGGGCACAGGTGTTTAGTCGCTCTTTAAACTGGTCCCTCTGGTCCCTGAAGTTCCAAGCAGCAGTCTCAGTCTCACCCGTCGAGTTCTGGGATGACCTTCCCCACAGCCTTGGCCGCTCCAGTAGAAGCAGGGATGATGTTTTGGCCCGCTCCTCTTCCATCTCTCCACTGTTTCCCTGACGGTCCGTCCACAGTCTTCTGAGTCGCTGTGGTGGCGTGCACAGTGCTCTGGTCACACATTAAAGAGATTGTAGGTTAACATAAATATGTCTAATGTGAGACCACAAGTCACATGTATGCATCCCAACGCCAAGCACAGCCCTAATCACATAAACATCCTGTGTATTTTCCAGCACTTCTGCTGGTCACATAAACAGTGAAGCAGGAGCAACCCACAGGGCTGAGTGGTTAGCACTCTAGCTTCTCAGCCATTAGGTCCAGGGTTTGATTCCACCTCCAGACTGGGCCTGGTTAGTGCCAGGTGCCACAGTGGGGCAGCTGTGGCTGTAAAGAGCCCCTCCCCCCCCCTCACCATGAGCCCCTCCTCGATTCCGAAGTTGTCGTTGATGATCTTTGCCAGTGGAGCCAGACAGTTGGTCGTACAGGAGGCGTTACTGCAGAGAACAGAAAAATCATTAATATTTATTGAATACTGAGTTGCCAGGACAACAGTGGGAAAGGTCTGTTTGGACCCGTGTCTGCTTTTTTAACCACTCTTCAAAATAATCTTTCAAAATGAGACAGTAACGGATAAGAAACTTTGTATCGCTCCTTCAATAGGGTCAATAGAAATCAGTCTAAAGCTGAATGCAGTAGGGATTTACAGTAGTTAAATGGTGTGTGGTTGTGACCCAGCCACCCAGGTTGCTCAAACCATGAGGCGTTACCTGACAATCTGCATGGAGGGGTTGTACTTCTCCTGGTTCACTCCCATCACAAACATTGGGGCGTCTGCACTGGGAGCAGAGATCACCACACGCTTAGCGCCACCCTTCAGGTGAGCCTGGAAACAGCAAAAGTGACATCACAGACTGTACAGAGGGAGAGAGCTAGCCTGCTAGCTCAAAGACATGGAACTAAACTCTAGTTCAGTAAAGGTTTGGGTTTTTAAAGTAGCCCTGAACCCTCTGATCCTGCTGTTTGGAAGCGCTGGATCTGGGATGTAAGGCTCAGATTTTCATTTGCAAACTCACCGATGCCTTCTCAATGGTGGTGAAGATTCCAGTGGACTCCACCACGTACTGTGCTCCTGCGGCGCCCCAGGGGATCTGAGTGGGGTCCCTCCTGTTGGGACGCACAAGTTTGAGATTAGGATTAAAGTGCAGCAACCACAGGGGTGATGTGTTCTAAAAATAACACATGGTAAATCCTCATTAGCAGTTGATCAGTAAAAATCTGTAAAACCTCCAGAGAGCTTGTTTAATTCCCATGTTGGGTGTCTTGAGTGTCCAAAAAAGGCACAAGTTTAATTTATTATTTCTAGAGACCAGAGACACATGTTAGAGTGGACAGTGACTCACTCGCGATGGACTGCGATGGACATCTTCCCAATGATGAGTTTCCCGTTCTCAGCCTTCACCTCTCCATGTTTCCAGGTGCCGTGGGTCGAGTCGTACTTGAACATGTAAACCTGAGAAGGACTTTAGGACCAAGCACTAAAGACCAGGTAACCAGATGTTAAGACCAGGTGACATACCATGTAGTCCAGGTCTATGAAGGGGTCGTTGATGGCCACCACTTCAATCTTTCCTCCAGTTGCCGCGGCTCTGGTCACCAGACGGCCGATACGACCAAATCTGAAGCCAAAACAATTCAATACACATCTTAAATATCTCTGCTTTGCCCTCATAGACGAGCGATAACTGCATAAAAATGATCCTTGACTTATGTACAAAGTCCTTTGTTTTTACTGACTAGTTACAGCCTTAAAGTGAGAAAATGCAGTTAATATTGAGTTTTGATTCCAGTCTCATTACTAAAGTAGCCTGCAAAATTAATTGAGCTGTAAGACACTGAAGATTAAAATCCCCCCCCCAAAAAAAATTATAATAAACACTTTGGATTTTGACAAAAGCAACCTACAGCCAGGTCCCTGAGAGCCCCATTAAGTGAGAGCTTTACAATGGTTGAGTTCATATACCTTCCCAATAGTCTCGGCTCCACAAAAGACGACAGTGGTGAGACGCAGTGCTGGAATGCAGCCACCAGAGTGCAGCAAACACCAGCTTTTAAAGCAGAGCATCAGAGCACATCCACAGGTCCATAGAAGGAACAGGGAACAGAGTCCGGACCAAATATGGCTCATGGGACTGCAGGGAAGCAAGGAGGAGGATGCAGGGACAGACTACAACTGAAACTGCAATACAGCAACAAACTATAAAAGATTCTGAAATGTTTGTAAAAGCTGTGATAATTTCCAGTTGAAGAGCTGCTCATGTTTCCTTCATACATTATTGATCTGTTGCAGGTCCAGATACAGTCCTCTCAGATGACACTTGCTGGTTCCACTTCCTCAAAGCTCCTCCCTCTCCCTGTAGCAAACACTGAGGACTCTATAAAAGTAGTCATTCTGCGAGAGCCACAGACTTATGTCAGAAAAGGGTGGTCCACTGTTATTCAGCCCAAAGCGGCAAACAGGTTTCCTTACAGTGATTACAAAAGACAATGCTTTCTGATTAAGACAGCACGTTGTATACCTCGTCCAAACAGTCACCTGAAGGTTCTCTTCCCATGCAATGTTAGTTCTCAACAATATAGTTCCATTCCCATTAATACACATTTTACTGCCTCCTCCACAGAGCCAAACATCTGACCCTGGATCAGCCCCAGCTCTTCAGACACAACTGCACCTCTGCTTTGGACTCAACTCATCGTCCAAAATGTGGAGTAAAAATAGAGGCACAAGCAGCAAGAATGTGGCAGCTGTAGAGGATGAAGAGGCTGAGAGATAACAGTGACTACCACTAAAGTGAAAAAGACCCCTACCTATCCATGAGTTACATTGAAGTGACCTTGATGTAACAAAAACTACTTATGTCTCTTAAGCAGTCAGAGACACTCACCATTTAACAAACTTTCCTCTTTAAAAAAATTGGAGCAATAAAAGACATTAAAACCTGGAAGCACAGAACCAAAGGGACGAAAGAGTCTTGCTAACATGAGAGCATTGTATTAAAGCAAGTGGAAGCGATTCTTGCAGGAAATGCCATAAATAAAAAGGAAACTCTTCTTCCTGCGTCAGGATATTATACCGACAAAGTAGGTTAAACCACAACAGCAGTCGTCTGAGGACTTTGATTCTCTAGAGTTGTAGATTCCTCAACAAAAACAGTTCAAACACAAGAAATGCAACAAACACATTGGTCCATAGGAAGCAGAGTGACCACTGTTACTGTAACTGGCCTCTTCCTACTGCTCTGTAACTTGTGATGAAATACTGAAATTTACCCTCTGTTGAACCTATGGACAAACTCTATACGAAATCAACTTATTACAGCTTTGTGCGTTCAAACCAAACTAGGAATATCAAAACCTCTTTAGAACTTTGGCAAAAAAGGGGACGACCAACAGCAACAAGAACAAACAGAAACACTTGTTAGGTTTGGATGGTGTTGTGTTGGTATGAGATTCCAACTGCATCTACCAAAAACTGCTGAGGTTTCACAAAAGCCTGCCCTTTTGTCCCACTGACCTTATTCTGTATTTACTACAAATATATTTAGCCCAAAATACTGACACTTCTTGGCTTCTATCCAGAAATGGTACATATGCAGTAGAAATAGAAGTACAAACAGTAACTATAAGCTAAGGTTTCGTTCAGACATTGATTTTTAAAAATTCAGCCTTCAACATGTTTTATATGTCAACATTGCTTTACACCAGTTACATTAGTGCCACAAGGGATTTTGTGAATCTAAATTTATGTCAGTGTACAATTAAAGTCAACTATAGGATTCCAGAGGTTCTGAGCCTCAGTCCTGGGTCTACAGCCTCAGTCCTGGGTCTACAGCCTCAGTCCTGGGTCTACAGCCACAGTCCTGGGTTCCTCTCTGACGCAGGAGTGTGTAAGGACAGCCATTTGTCATCCTGCTCCATATGGACCAATGGCGCTCATGTGTTTGTCATTATTGCATTTCCTGTGTTTGATTCCCAGATCAGTTGGTGGATCCACAACTTGAAGATGTGACAGCCTGCATACAGATTAACAATGCTCAATAGAGACGTGCTCATGGGGAAGTTTGGCTCCCACTGACTTCCATGAGACACTAAACTCCACCATTGTTAAACCCTGTGCATGAACCGTCTGCTGTACAAATACCTTTCCTTTGGATAAAAAGGTGCTGTAAAGCTGAAAAACACCTTTGCACATATAAAATGTACAGACTCTTTTATAGTATATCTAATTAAAAATGGAGGATTTTCTTGAATTTTAGGAAAGAACTGCCCTTGCCACTTTTTGAACAAAATTCTCTGGTCTTATCCGAGTCCTCCTATATATACACACACTTTAAATTCATAAACTGGTGATTTGTTAGAATGAAGGAGAATGAATGAGGCTCCAGACTTCATAGATCACCGACTTGCACTGAAACAGGACAAACATTTCCCAAAAACTAGTGAGGCGTAAACTACTCACCCATTGATTCCAATCTTCACCATGTTGTTTGTTGAGGATTAACCTGTAATAACAAGAACTAACATTAAAAAAGTGCAGTTTTAAAACCCGGAAATCAGATGAAAGGACCACGCGACTCAAACGTTACGCACTTTCCCAAAACTCCTCAAACGCAACACATTCTCACTCAACTTTTCACATGTTTCACTACTTAACTTATGCAAAAACATAGTTTATAAGGAGACTGTACCGTGTCCTGGAGGCGGTTGGGTTTGCTGGTACTGTCCGGAGGAGGAGGAGGAGAGAGCGGAGAAAGGAGAGGATTGTGCCCGGGTTTTATGACTCCGGAGGCGGCCTGGTCACGCCCCTTGCTCCGCTGTCAAGGTCACGGAAGAAGCATCAAAAACTTAAACATATATATATAACAAGACAGAAATGTTATGAGGCTGTGTGTATTATGCGTGTTTTGGTTGTATGCGCGTTATTAAGCTGCTTTTATGACCCGTAACTCTGTATTTAGCAGAATATTCACCCAAGCGCCCCCTGCTGGTGTGAGCCGTGACTACGTGCCAAACTGCACACACTGGAGACTGGTGATGTAATGTCAGATTCTGAAACTTTTATTCTATTTTATGTGTTTGTGTGTAGAACTAAATTACAGCAGAACTAGACCGGGAGGAGTTTACATAGTAGGATTCTCCAACAACAGATCAGAGAATCAAAAACAGGAAATGTAATAATAACATGCACACAGGAGAGTGATTACTAGAGCATGGAGAGACCAGAGAGAGACCAGAGAGAGACCAGAGGGAGACCAGAGGGAGACCAGAGAGAGACCAAAGAGAGAGAGACTAGAAGGAGACCATAGGCCAATGATAAAGGCCAGAGAGATTGAGACCAGAGACTAGAGAGACCAAATCAATAGTCTATTGAAACAGTAATTGATTTTGTTTCTAAATTTGTCCTCATATATTTTTTGATTGTGTTATATCAGAATATAATCATATTTCTCGTTCAACTTTGACGAATTGCGTCACCTCTGACCCTGTGGAAAGCACAGTATTTCCTTGGTTCTATTTGCACAAAACGCCGCCGTCTGCAGCCGTTTTATATCAAGCCCAGTGTTTTGTCCGAGTCAGGCTCCTGTTTCTCCACACCACACACACAGAGATTAGATAACACTGCTTTTGTGACAGAGTGTGTTTTGTGGTCGAACCCAGTCTGCTCTGTGCTCTGCCTCAGTCTGCTCTGCCCCAGTCTGCTCTGTGCTCTACCCCAGTCTGCTCTGTGCTCTGCCTCAGTCTGCTCTGTGCTCTGCCTCAGTCTGCTCTGTGCTCTGCCTCAGTCTACTCTGTGCTCTGCCCCAGTCTGCTCTGTGCTCTGCCCCAGTCTGCTCTGTGCTCTGCCTCAGTCTGCTCTGTGCTCTACCTCAGTCTGCTCTGCCCCAGTCTGCTTTGTGCTCTGCCCCAGTCTGCTCTGTGCTCTGCCTCAGTCTGCTCTGTGCTCTGCCTCAGTCTGCTCTGTGCTCTGCCTCAGTCTGCTCTGTGCTCTACCTCAGTCTGCTCTGCCTCAGTCTGCTCTGTGCTCTGCCTCAGTCTGCTCTGCCTCAGTCTGCTCTGTGCTCTGCCTCAGTCTGCTCTGTGCTCTGCCTCAGTCTGCTCTGCCTCAGTCTGCTCTGTGCTCTGCCTCAGTCTGCTCTGTGCTCTACCTCAGTCTGCTCTGCCCCAGTCTGCTCTATGCTCTGCCTCAGTCTGCTCTGTGCTCTGCCTCAGTCTGCTCTATGCTCTGCCCCAGTCTGCTCTATGCTCTGCCCCAGTCTGCTCTATGCTCTACCTCAGTCATGCTCTGTGCTCTGCCCCAGTCTGCTCTGTGCTCTGCCCCAGTCTGCTCTGTGCTCTGCCTCAGTCTGCTCTGTGCTCTACCTCAGTCTGCTCTGTGCTCTGCCTCAGTCTGCTCTGTGCTCTGCCTCAGTCTGCTCTGTGCTCTACCTCAGTCTGCTCTGCCTCAGTCTGCTCTGTGTTCTGCCTCAGTCTGCTCTGTGCTCTGCCTCAGTCTGCTCTGTGCTCTGCCTCAGTCTGCTCTATGCTCTGCCCCAGTCTGCTCTATGCTCTGCCCCAGTCTGCTCTATGCTCTACCTCAGTCATGCTCTGTGCTCTGCCCCAGTCTGCTCTGTGCTCTGCCCCAGTCTGCTCTGTGCTCTGCCTCAGTCTGCTCTGTGCTCTACCTCAGTCTGCTCTGTGCTCTGCCTCAGTCTGCTCTGTGCTCTGCCTCAGTCTGCTCTGTGCTCTACCTCAGTCTGCTCTGCCTCAGTCTGCTCTGTGTTCTGCCTCAGTCTGCTCTGTGCTCTGCCTCAGTCTGCTCTGTGCTCTACCTCAGTCTGCTCTGCCTCAGTCTGCTCTGTGCTCTACCTCAGTCTGCTCTGCCCCAGTCTGCTCTATGCTCTGCCTCAGTCTGCTCTATGCTCTGCCCCAGTCTGCTCTGTGCTCTACCTCAGTCTGCTCTGTGCTCTACCCCAGTCTGCTCTGTGCTCTACCTCAGTCTGCTCTGTGCTCTACCTCAGTCTGCTCTGTGCTCTGCCCCTGTCTGCTCTGTGCTCTGCCTCAGTCTGCTCTGTGCTCTGCCCCAGTCTGCTCTGTGCTCTGCCCCAGTCTGCTCTGTGCTCTGGTTCTCTCCCTGGTTGTGTTTCGATTACACTTTTCTATCTGGTACCATATCCTAGCAACCTACCCACAACAAACAAGTGTCTGGGGAAATTCCTTGGTAACCATGGCTTCTAGCTGCACTCTGGTCAATCACTGTCAGATAGAAGCTTTAGTACCAACTTGGCCTTGAATAGAACCAGGACCAAGAGAGACTAAAGAAGGACCTGGTACTGGTAGCACAGGACCAGAGGAAACACCCCCAATCAGGGGAGAGTAGAGTCAAGAAAGGTAGAGTAGAGTAGGGTCCCTCTCTTGTCTCTCTCTGGTGTCACTCTGATCGCTGTCTCTCTGGTCTCTCTCTAGTTTCTCTCTGGTCTCTCTTCTCTCTCTCTATTTCTATAATAGAGACCTGACTGGTTTTATAAATACTATTCCTTCCTTCTTTCCTTCCTCTATGATCGTCCATTCCACCGGTACAGAAAGACATGACCTTTCCTTGACTGTGTCGTGGCATTGAATTTAGTCCAAATGTTTTATTGTAACCTTTCCATCTGTGGGTTCAGCTTCTGCTAGAGTCTGCAGAAAGTGACCCCAAAGGTTAATGCAGTGTTTAAAGAGCAAAGAAGAAGAGGACTTTTATTCAGACTGAGACTCAGGATTTCAAAAACAAAGATGTTTTTTTAGTGACAGAAGCAACATTTAGAGTCCAGTGCTCTAGTTCCAGGCTCTAAAACAGTTCTCACATGCATGTCTCTGTCTTGGTCTGGTCCTGGTATGGTTTTGGTACTATTTTGGTTTGGGTTGAGTCTTGGTCTTAATCCAAGTCTCTTCTTGGTCTGGGTCATGTCTTGTATTGGTACTGTTTTGGTCCCAGTCTGGTCTCAGTGTTGATACATGTTCAAAAACAGCACCCCAGTCCCATTATGAAAGAACCATAGTCCATTTATGTGGAGTGTGACATCACCACAGTGTGACATCACCACAGTATTAGCCTTAATGCAGATCAAGCTGATTTGACCATAAGCTGGAGCCAGTTTCCTTGTATGGGCATTTGTTCTGACAGCGTTAGCTTTGCACTGTATCAGGGGCAGATGTGTTGCTAAGACGGTTGCTAAGGCAAGCTGAATGAAGGCCTCTGATTGGTCAAACCTTATATTGCTCATTCCTGGATTTGCAAAAAAAAATTAGCATTTACTTTTACATGGAAGTCAATAGGAGAGGAGCCAAACTTCCCCATGAGCACTTCTCCATTGGGCCTCATTGAACTAGTGGGTCAGCTTTGAGCTAGCAGGTTAGCATTGTGCCTCTGTATACAGTCTGGTGTGGGATATAAGGTGAACTGTTTTTGTCTCAACACGTTCCTTCAGCCTGAACCTGAACCTGCCTCGACTGGTTTGAACAACAGATAAACACAGCCTTTAACACGAGCGCTCCCAGAATGCTCATGCTCATAGAACTCCCAATCATTTTGACAGTTCCCATTCAAATACATTTACATCTGAAAGAAGATCCCAAGAAAAACGTTTAGTTTTTCTCTAGTTTTATAAAATATGAAAACAAAACATCATTACTAAGTGTAAAAAGTGGTGAAATAACAGAAATACAGAATAGTTTGTTGAAAGGATAAATGCTAACTTCTGCAAGTAAACAGTGTGTTGCTATGGTAACAAGACAAGGACCAGACCAGGACCAGGACCAAACCAGGAGCAGACCAGGACCAGACCAGGACCAGACCAGTCTCTTGAAAAAAGTAGCTTTAACTGCCAAAAACAACTACATTTGAATTTTACCTTTAAATGAATGGTGTTAAAGGTAGACATGCTCTAAAAGAATAAAAGATAATGACATAAAAACTAAAAACAATGAAATAGAAATCAACAACGTTAACAGAAGTAGTCACACATGTACATGAGCAGTAACTGCACTTCCGACACTAAAACCCGTCAGATTGACTGCTCCAGGAGTTGAAATGAAGACAACTTTGGCTTTAAACCTCGTATGAAGCAGGATGTGCCATGTGACAGATCCATGACGCACAATGGTACAACTGCGCCCTCTGGTGGAGAGCAGGCGCCAAGTGGAGGAGGGTGATTTACAGGTATGTGCCATGAAAACACAAACTAGTATCTGCAATATTTCTAAATAGGATGTGCTGGGGTACATATCTTTCAAACCACAGAAATCAGGAGCATATAATATTATCACTGTATCCCTCTCTCTGAAACAGTTTTCTTCTATTGCTAGTTTTTCTGTCACATCTTTAGATTAGAATAGTAGACAGAAAAGTGACATATGGTGACTCACAGGGCTCTTTATTATTATTATTATTTTTTTACACAAAATGACATGTTTTCTAATAAAATGAAGACAGTCTGTTCTACTTTACCCTATACTCCACCTATAGGCCTCTGTATACTTACACCAGAATGGTTCCCCTGGTCTCTGGTCTGGTTCTTCTGGTCTCTGGTTTGATTCCCCTCGTTCCCCTGGTCTCTGGTTCGTGCGTCCTCCCTTCTCACCCTCTCTCCCTTCTCCTCCTTTCCCCCTTCTCCTCCATTCTCTCCTCTCCTTCTATCTCCTCCTTTCTCCTTCCTTGCATGCTTCATATACTATTACCTTCCACTCTGTTTGATCTCCATACATTTCCCAATGACTCACAATCCCCCCCCCCCCCCCCCCCCCACCCCATCCTCTCCCCTCCTCTCTCCTCTCTATCTCTCTCAGTCTCTGGGGCCAGTTTTATTTTTAAGACTTCACTCAGAAATAAAAACAGAATTAGGCACAAACATGGAACTGTCTGGAACTGTCCAGAGAGAGACCAGAGAGAGACCAGAGCGAGAGATTAGAGAGAGACCAGAGAAAGACCAGAGAGTCAGATACCAGAGAGAGACCAAAGAGAGAGACCAGAGAAAGACCAGAGATATGATCACAACAACACTTCTTCAAATGTGGAAATATACATGTAATCAGGCCTCATCTACATTCATCATCATCCAACAGGGAAACAGGAGCCAAACACCATCACACACAGGGACTGGCCTCCTGCTGGAACTCTGAGGAGCACAGGGACTGGCCTCCTGCTGGGACTGAGGAGCACAGGGACTGGCCTCCTGCTGGGACTGAGGAGCACAGGGACTGGCCTCCTGCTGGGACTGAGGAGCACAGGGACTGGCCTCCTGCTGGGATTCATGCAGCAAAAATCTGGAACAGTCTTCCTAAAAATGTGAGACTTCTCCTTGAAATCCAGGTTAAAACAGTTTGCTGCAATATATCTTCACTCTTTAATGTTCTGTGATTGAGGATTTTAATGCCTGCAAATTATTCTCTTTGCAATTTAAGTTTCTGTGAGTATGAACTGTGCTATTCAAAAAATCTTGCTTCCTCCCAAGTGCAATATTCATCATTTGACCTGGTTTAAATGTGGAGGAAATCAATTATGGATGGGTCTTGCATTTTTGGGTTTCCCTCGATTGCCTGATGTCACACAAGACCAGTGAGAGAGACCAGAGAGAGAGAGACCAGAGAGAGAGACCAGAGAGAGACCAGAGAGAGAGACCAGAGAGAGAGAGACCAGAGAGAGAGACCAGAGAGAGAGAGACCAGAGAGAGAGACCAGTGAGAGAGACCAGAAAGAGACAAGTGAGAGAGACTAGAGAGAGAGAGAGACAAAGACAGAGACCAGAGAGAGAGACCGAGCAGAGGCATCAGAGGGCGGGATCCATGCAGCCTCCTCCTCCTCCTCCTCACAGCCCAGAGACAGCAGCAGAGGCGCCGGGGACAGGACGCTGCTTACACCGCTGGAGCCGGACTGTTATCTCCAATATGCATACACGCATGGATCGTATTCACCTTCTTCGTCTGTGAGTGACGACATGGGCTGCATAGGATCCCGAACCCTCAGTAAGTGCCTCAGCCCACCGCCATGTGCTCTCTCCTCCTTCTCACTGTTGTGTCCTTGTCACCGTCTCTTCTGCCTTCTCTCCGCTGGTGCCAACTCCGCTGGTTCGGTGACAGCTCAGGGATGGGCAACAGTGGGGCCAAAAAGAACCAGGATCTCTCTCTATATATATTTATTTAAGCGCTTTGATACAGAGGTGCGGGGAAGGTATTGCATCTATCATCACAGACAGATTTGCAGTCTTTCCTGTTGCTAATATAAATTGTTCATGCATTTAAAACATCTACGCGGTCCATGCAGTGCGCGCTTTTTTTTACTGAGATAAACTAGCAGTGTGGGGGTGCAGGGCAGAGGCTGAAGCCCAGGGCAGGTGTGTGTGGAAGTGAGTGGTACTGACACGTGTGGCTGATGCTGTTTGACTTCAGACTAAGGTCATTGGAGCCGGTGAATCTCCCATCTCCCCTCCATCTTCTCCTCCAGTGTCTGCCTCTGTCCCTGCGCGTCACAATGCAACGCTATTGGAGGCTATGCGAGAGGCGTATGACAACACAGTGGAATTTAGGTTAAAGCAAGGACACGGGAGCGGGGAGAGGAGGAGGTGGTGGTGGAGGCGGAGGAGGAGGAGGAGGAGGAGGAGGTGGTCTGTGTGCTGAGACTGAGACGCGGCGACATACGGATGACTGGACTCTGACACGTCCTGGTTCTGGATCCGTGGTTTAAAAATGAAGAGCAGGGGGTTCCACCAAGGACGTCAGACACAAGGGATGACCTTAGGAAGAGGAGGACTGCCCCAGACAGGAGCCAAACTGAATTATTGATGATCTGTGATGGACAGTGCTCTGAGGCCAAGAACACTGGAGCTTTGTATGTTTCCAAATTTGCTGTTTGTATGTTGCTGGTTTATGGATCACATTTGCAGAAATATTCAGAGAAAGATTAAGCTCCTTCATAAGCTTATTGCAACTAATAAAACATCAAGTTGTACAACTGTGGAGCAGCCTCAGTCCTGGATCCACAGGCTCAGTCCTGGATCCACAGCCTCAGTCCTGGATCTACAGCCTCAGTCCTGGATCCACAGCCTCAGTCCTGGGTCCACAGCCTCAGTCCTGGGTCCACAGCCTCAGTCCTGGATCCACAGCCTCAGTCCTGGATCCACAGCCTCAGTCCTGGGTCTACAGCCTCAGTCCTGGGTGTACAGCCTAAGTCCTGGATCCACAGCCTCAGTCCTGGATCCACAGCCTCAGTCCTGGGTCTACAGCCTCAGTCCTGGGTCTACAGCCTCAGTCCTGGGTCTACAGCCTCAGTCCTGGGTCTACAGCCCCAGTCCTGAATCCACAGCCTCAGTTTTCTGATCTGTTGTTGGTGAATCATTAACTTCGTAAAGTCTCCTGAGACGCCTGCTGCTGTGATTTAGGGCGAGACACAAATATGTTGAATTGAAAGAACATTATCTCAGTCTGCAGTGCACTGATCTTTGGGATGAACTCTGTCAAAATCAATTATTCAAGTAATCCTCTAATTCCAGAGGCTTTGTTGCCCTTGGAACCTCTCACTATTTAACTATTTAACAGTTATTTAGGGAAGGAGCAAAGAAATCATTTTTAATGCTCTGGTCTCTCTCTGGCCTGTCAGTTCGAACACAGAAAAATGCATTAATAACAAACACAGGAGCTGGTCTATAGAGAGCGGGATAACCACTGTCCTTAGACCCTCCTGCGTCAGAGAGCAACCACTCAGGAACCCAGGACTGAGGTCGTAGACCCAGGACTGAGGCTGTAGATCCAGGACTGAGGCTGTAGATCCAGGACTGAGGCTGTAGATACAGAACTGAGGCTGTAGACCGGCAGGACTGAGGCTGTAGACCCAGGACTGAGGCTGTAGACCTGCAGGACTGAGGCTGTAGACCCAGGACTGAGGCTGTAGACCTGCAGGACTGAGGCTGTAGATACAGAACTGAGGCTGTAGACCGGCAGGACTGAGGCTGTAGACCCAGGACTGAGGCTGTAGACCTGCAGGACTGAGGCTGTAGACCTGCAGGACTGAGGCTGTAGACCCAGGACTGAGGCTGTAGATCCACATTTTCCCTGAATATTGTTTTAAAAAATAAATCCATATTAATGTTTGTCATTTTCGCCCACTCCTCCTCCTTGCTGCTTTTGCTGTGTCCATCAGCTGTCATGCCTGAGTGTGTGTGGGTTTGTGTCTCTCTCTCTCTCTCTGTTTGTCTATGTGTGTGTGTGTATCTCGCTCTGTGTGATCATGTCTCTCTTTCTATATGTTTGCCTGTGTGGGTGTGTGTCTCGGTGTGTGTGTGTGTGTGTTGGGGGGAGTGAGAGGGGACTAAACAAATACAATATATAAGAGCCTGTTGTCCCACACGTTTCTCTGCTTCATCTTCATTCCCCTACTCTACTCTACTCTACTCTACTCTACTCTACTCTACTCTACTCTAGAGAGACCAGTGAGAGACCGACCAGAGAGAGACCAGTGAGAGACCAGTGAGAGACCAGTGAGAGACTAGAGAGAGACTAGAGAGAGACTAGAGAGAGACTAGAGAGAGACTAGAGAGAGACTAGAGAGAGACTAGAGAGAGACTAGAGAGAGGCAAGAGAGAGACTAGAGAGAGACCGGAGAGACCATCAATTCCTGAAATAAAAACTAGTGATAGAACCAATTGAGCAAAGTGACCAGACAGGTTTTCATACATAGTAATTTTCTGTTTTGCTCCTGATTCTTAAAAACTGTCTGCTCTCATCAAGAGTGGAGAAGCAGAGGGCATTCTGGGTAATATTAAAGTGTTCCTCAGAGAAAACACCAAACTGCTGCAGGAAAAGTTTTAGAAATGAGAAAAGCAGGAGGCAGCGATCCACAAGAGCAGCTCTGTCTCTGCAGAAACTAGACTCTTATTTTTGGAATTAAATCAGTCACTGGCTCGACTTTGATACAGTAAACTCGTAGTGGTGGCTCCTATGGACTTCCATGTGAAAGTAAACTCCTCAGTTTTGCTCAGTAGCTGTTTGTGTCACGTTTGTGTAATTTGTTCTTTCCAGAGCATTCAAACGAAACCACAGATTTAAGCCCAAAATGGTGTAGGTGTATCTCAATTATTATTGAGATAGAGGAGTTTACTTTTACATGTAAGTCAGAGAGAGTAGAGTAGAGTAGGGCTATGGGTATTTCATCTAACAGTGTAATGTGATTCATATTTTTGTATCCGATTCAGTGTCTTTAATGGATTCATTAAAAATACATTTTATCCTTTATCACTATTATGTGTATGATATCAAAGACCTCTGTGTCTCCCACATGTTTTTCTTTTGAAGGCTACAGGAAACATCTTGTGAATACTTTCAATTCAACAGGTCTGAATGTGTGTGAGGCTGAGAGAAGGTCCGTCACAGACTCTTTATAAACTCTGCATTCACATGTGCCTCCCACACTTCCTCCTCCTGCTCATGAGACGGAGGAGCAGCATTCACAGCTGATCTCTAACATTTCTTTAACAATGGGAGAATGTGGAAGCGAGAGCAGGTTCACAGAGCTGGGATTTCAATCAGTGCTTCATTAACAAACTGAGAGCACAACTCAGACATGCAGCAATGGTTTGGTTACAATCAGAAATATGTATCTTAGATACATGGGCTTTAGTCAAGCCCCGGTGGTCCAAGATGGCGCCCTATTCAAATCCATGGCTTGTGCTCAGTTGCCATGGATCTATAATAATATCTAGATAGGGTATTACTATCTTATAGCTGTCCCACCAATGGGTACTGCAGACTCAATTCATGTGGGCTATCCAGAAAAAAGTGCCATAGAACTCAATGTAAACTAAAACAGCTCGCCCTCAGGTGACAGAAAACCTACAGCTGTAGGTCAGTTGTTAGTGTCTCTTGTCGTACTAAACTTTTTTTTCGTTAAATCTTTCAGTTTTCTTTAAATCCACACTTAAGTGCAACAAACTCTGCTCGTTTTCTTCCCGCTTTGGCTCCTCTCTGATCAGCAGCTCTGATTGGTCAAAGCGCTGGAGAGTACTAGGAACTCAGAACTAGATAACATGAACGTCAACAGGAACTAGCTAACAATAACGTCAACAGGAACTAGCTAACAAAAACATCAACAGGAACTAGCTAACAATAACGTCAACAGGAACTAGCTAACAAAAACATCAACAGGAACTAGCTAACAATAACGTCAACAGGAACTAGCTAACAATAACGTCAACAGGAACAAGCAAACAATGGGCCTCATTCACGAATAACTTTGTAAGAAACTTCTCAAATTTCTCCTCAAGTTGTCCTTAAGTAGATTTCTAAGAAGTCCCTACGTGGGATTCATCAACGCACTCGTAAGCCGCTGAATTGTTCGCAGCTGTTCTCTCAGATTGATGAATCCCATTTCCTCGTAAGTACAGCGCGCGTGCCAGGTGCTTCATTAGCATAGGTACTTAGCATAAGTAACCGCCCATTAATGCCCATATAAGGGACTGAAGGGCCGTGTGCAGACGCCAGAGGAAACAGCAACAGGCCTAAAGCAAAGAGTTACACGGAGCAAAAGAGTCACGCTTTTTTCTTCTTTTGCCAGACTGAGAATAAAGGTATAAATGTTGACTTAAAAGTCGAAATATTATGATAATAAAGTCGAACTAGCAAAATTATGAGATTAATCTAAGAATATGATGAGATTAATCTCAAAATGTTATGAGCTTAATTTAAAAATATATTATGTATTATTTTAAAGATGAATCTCAAAATGTTTTGAGATGAATCTCAAAATGTTTTGAGATTAATCTCAAAATATTTTGGACCCTGGGAGGAGATCCAGCGCGGACCGGCGCTGAGACCAATGCAGACCCGAGGAGAGACTGGAGTGACCAGCACACAGAAACCAGCGCGGACCTATAGGAGAGACCGCATAGACTGGAGTGGCCTGACTGGAGAGACCGCATAGACTGTAGTGACCTGACTGGAGAGACCGGTGCGCAGAGACCAGCGCGGACCGAAGAGAGACCGCATAGACCAGACTTGAGAGACCAGCGCGGACCCGTATGGATCCAGGAGCATGCAGCACGGACCCGTATGGAGAGACCAGTGCAGACCCGTCTAGAGCCATGGGAGAGACCAGTGCAGACCCGTCTAGATCCATGGGAGAGACCAGTGCAGACCCGTATAGATCCATGGGAGAGACCAGTGCAGACCCGTATAGATCCATAGGAGAGACCAGTGCAGACCCGTATAGATCCATAGGAGAGACCAGTGCAGACCCGTATAGATCCATAGGAGAGACCAGTGCAGACCCGTATAGATCCATGGGAGAGACCAGTGCAGACCCGTATAGATCCATAGGAGAGACCAGCGCAGAGACTCAGCGCGGACCCAGTAACCTCCTGCAGCAGCAGTATATATGCCGTTGTTCTGTGGCCCGTGGATAAAGAAATGCCCCCTATAAATAGGAAGGGGTCACTAATACACGGCAAGATTTCCAATGTATTTGATAAAGCGTTGGCACATTTCATTTCAAAATGAATTAAAAAGTAGGCCAGATCTGCAGTGAAAAAGGCGGTATATAAATAAAGATTACTAATAAAGATTACTACAAATAAATAAATACATACATCGATATGACGGACATATCACTGGAATGTTGTATTTTTATTCAACTTCACCAAAGAGGACAACCCCGGCGTGTGAACAT